GAAACACACTTTGCATCCCTTATGCATACAAACACAGATTCACACAATGCATCCCTAACACACAACAAGAAACACACAATACATCCCTCATACACAAACACTCACTGCTTTCTATCCCTTACACAAACAACACTGCATCACCTACACAAACTGGTGTCCCTATACACTACATTCCGTAAGCACACACATTAGATCCTCTACAGTAACACATAACACATCCCCTACACACTCTACTCCCTGTGAGTTCATGGGTGGAACATGTAGGTGGCCTTATGGGTGGGCTTTATGGGCATACTCACCGTCAGGCCCTGGGGCCCAGACCTTGAGCTATGTAAGAGGCCCCAAAAATGGAGCTGCTTCCCGTTCTCCCAGAACATTGAATTTTGTGACCACAGTTGCAAGCAGCCTCCAGAGATCCTGTTCTACACCAGACCAGTGGAGCCAGACTGCAGCCAGAGCCCATCACCATCCTAATCTGATTGTAAGTAGGCAATCTAGTATATTATTAGTGACACTAATCTCTAATTTACCTCACATTAAATGGACACTATAGTCCCCTAGAACCACTGCAGCTTAATAAAGTTGTTCTGGTGTCTATAGTTTGTCCCTGCAGGCTTTTTAATGTAAACACACACTGTGTGCAGCACTGGCGTTAGTTCGTATGGCAGCTCATATAGGTGGGGCATTGCGAGATTCCAGAGGCAAATGCTCTTTGCCTGGTGGCAAAAATCCTTGCACCGGCCCTGGATACTTAACTATTACTAACCCTCTATATCTGGGATACAGCTATTTACTAACCCTGTATATCTGAGATACAGCTATTTACTAACCCTGTATATCTGGGATACAGCTCTTTACTAACCCTGTATATCTGGGATACAGCTCTTTACCAACCCTGTATATCTAGGATACAGCTCTTTACTAACCCTGTATATCTGGGACCATAGCTACCCCAACCCTGTATATCTGGGATACAGCTCTTCCCCAACCCTGGCCCTTATCTGGGATACAGCTATTTACTAACCCTGTATATCTGGGATACAGCTATTTACTAACCCTGTATATCTGGGATATAGCTATTTACTAACCCTGTATATCTGTGATATAGCTATTTACTAACCCTGTATATCTGGGATACAGCTATTTACTAACCCTGTATATCTGGGATACAGCTCTTTACTAACCCTGTATATCTGGGATATAGCTCTTTACTAACCCTGTATATCTGGGATACAGCTATTTACTAACCCTGTATATCTGGGATATAGCTATTACTAACCCTGTATATCTGGGATATAGCTATTTACTAACCCTGTATATCTGGGATATAGCTATTTACTAACCCTGTATATCTAGGATACAGCTCTTTACTAACCCTGTATATCTGGGATACAGCTATTTACTAACCCTGTATATCTGGGATACAGCTATTTACTAACCCTGTATATCTGGGATACAGCTATTTACTAACTCTGTATATCTGGGATACAGCTCTTTACTAACCCTGTATATCTGGGATACAGCTATTTACTAACCTTGTATATCTGGGATACAGCTATTTACTAACCCTGTATATCTGGGATATAGCCAGTTACTAACCCTGTATATCTGGGATACAGCTATTTACTAACCCTGTATATCTGGGATACAGCTATTTACTAACCCTGTATATCTGGGATACAGCTATTTACTAACCCTGTATATCTGATACAGCTATTTACTAACCTCTGTGTTATCTGGGATATAGCTCTTTACTATCCCTGTATATCTGGGATACAGCTCTTTACTATCCCTGTATATCTGGGATACAGCTCTTTACTAACCCTGTATATCTGGGATATAGCTATTTACTAACCCTGTATATCTGGGATACAGCCTTTTACTAACCCTGTATATCTGGGATATAGCTATTTACTAACCCTGTATATCTGGGATATAGCTATTTACTAACCCTGTATATCTGGGATATAGCTATTTACTAACCCTGTATATCTGGGATACAGCCTTTTACTAACCCTGTATATCTGGGATATAGCTATTTACTAACCCTGTATATCTGGGATACAGCCATTTACTAACCCTGTATATCTGGGATACAGCTACTTACTAACCCTGTATATCTGGGATACAGCTATTTACTAACCCTGTATATCTGGGATATAGCTATTTACTAACCCTGTATATCTGTGATATAGCTATTTACTAACCCTGTATATCTGGGATACAGCTATTTACTAACCCTGTATATCTGGGATACAGCTAGTTACTAACCCTGTATATCTGGGATACAGCTATTTACTAACCCTGTATATCTGGGATACAGCTATTTACTAACCCTGTATATCTGGGATACAGCTATTTACTAACTCTGTATATCTGGGATACAGCTCTTTACTAACCCTGTATATCTGGGATACAGCTATTTACTAACCTTGTATATCTGGGATACAGCTATTTACTAACCCTGTATATCTGGGATATAGCCAGTTACTAACCCTGTATATCTGGGATACAGCTATTTACTAACCCTGTATATCTGGGATACAGCTATTTACTAACCTTGTATATCTGGGATACAGCTATTTACTAACCCTGTATATCTGGGATACAGCTATTTACTAACTCTGTATATCTGGGATACAGCTATTTACTAACCCTGTATATCTGGGATACAGCTATTTACTAACCCTGTATATCTGGGATATAGCTCTTTATTAACCCTGTATATCTGGTATATAGCTATTTACTAACCCTGTATATCTGGTATACAGCTATTTACTAACCCTGTATATCTGGGATACAGCTATTTATTAACCCTGTATATCTGGGATACAGCTATTTACTAACCCTGTATATCTGGGATACAGCTCTTTACTAACCCTGTATATCTGGGATACAGCTATTTACTAACCTTGTATATCTGGGATACAGCTATTTACTAACCCTGTATATCTGGGATATAGCCAGTTACTAACCCTGTATATCTGGGATACAGCTATTTACTAACCCTGTATATCTGGGATACAGCTATTTACTAACCCTGTATATCTGGGATAAAGCTATTTACTAACCCTGTATATCTGGGATACAGCTATTTACTAACCCTGTATATCTGGGATACAGCTACTTACTAACCCTGTATATCTGGGATACAGCTATTTACTAACCCTGTATATCTGGGATATAGCTATTTACTAACCCTGTATATCTGTGATATAGCTATTTACTAACCCTGTATATCTGGGATACAGCTATTTACTAACCCTGTATATCTGGGATACAGCTAGTTACTAACCCTGTATATCTGGGATACAGCTATTTACTAACCCTGTATATCTGGGATACAGCTATTTACTAACCCTGTATATCTGGGATACAGCTATTTACTAACTCTGTATATCTGGGATACAGCTCTTTACTAACCCTGTATATCTGGGATACAGCTATTTACTAACCTTGTATATCTGGGATACAGCTATTTACTAACCCTGTATATCTGGGATATAGCCAGTTACTAACCCTGTATATCTGGGATACAGCTATTTACTAACCCTGTATATCTGGGATACAGCTATTTACTAACCTTGTATATCTGGGATACAGCTATTTACTAACCCTGTATATCTGGGATACAGCTATTTACTAACTCTGTATATCTGGGATACAGCTATTTACTAACCCTGTATATCTGGACATACGCTCTTTAATAACCCTGTATATCTGGGATACAGCTATTTACTAACCCTGTATATCTGGGATACAGCCTTACTAACCCTGTATATCTGGCATAGCTCTTTACTAACCCTGTATATCTGGGATATAGCTATTTACTAACCCTGTATATCTGGGATACAGCTCTGTACTAACCCTGTATATCTGGGATATAGCTATTTACTAACCCTGTATATCTGGGATACAGCTATTTACTAACCTTGTATATCTGGGATACAGCTATTTACTAACCCTGTATATCTGGGATACAGCTATTTACTAACCCTGTATATCTGGGATAGAGTTATTTACTAACCCTGTATATCTGGGATACAGCTATTTACTAACTCTGTATATCTGGGATACAGCTCTTTACTAATCCTGTATATCTGGGATACAGCTCTTTACTAGCCCTGTATATCTGGGATATAGCTCTTTACTAACCCTGTATATCTGGGATACAGCTCTTTACTAACCCTGTATATCTGGGATATAGCTCTTTACTAACCCTGTATATCTGGGATACAGCTCTTTACTAACCCTGCATATCTGGGATATAGCTCTTTACTAACCCTGTATATCTGGGATATAGCTCTTTACTAACCCTGTATATCTGGGATACAGCTATTTACTGACCCTGTATATCTGGGATACAGCTCTTTACTAACCCTGCATATCTGGGATATAGCTCTTTACTAACCCTGTATATCTGGGATATAGCTCTTTACTAACCCTGCATATCTGGGATATAGCTTGGCTCTTTACTAACCCTGTAATGTAAGCTCATGGAACAGGGCCCTCCACCCCTTTGTTCCTGTACGTCCAGTTGTCTGGTTACAATTACATGTATGTTAATCCACCCATTGTACAGCGCTACGGAATTTGATGGCACTATATAAATAATAAAATAATAATATATGCTGGATACACCTCTCTACTGAATGCATATAAACAATTACATTTCAGGCAGCAGTGTCTGTCTACTAGTTTTTAAGCGATTGGACCTTAGATTCGATTAAAAGGAATCAGGCATTTTATAACCCTTTACAAAAAAGAGGAGTTAAGGTTGCGCCAAAACAGAATAGACAAAGTATAGTTACAAATATAGAAAAAAAAATCAACTTTTTTTTCTATAAGAAGTTTAATAAAAGTCCCAAGTTCAGGCTTTTATTAGACTTCTTTTTTATATTTGATTTTTTTTAAATATATTTGATTGTTTATATATTTGTAAATATACTTTGTCTATTCTGTTTTGGCGCAACCTTACCTCCTCTTTTGTTTAATGTCTACTTATTTGTAGGGCTTAGAGGGAGCCCTACGAAATTTACATATATTCTAGATTTTGGGTTTTCTTTTTAGAACGCTGATCCTTTTCCGTTTCATTTATGACCCTTAAACCACATAATTTGTTTAAAAGGATGACAAGTTTGGTAGCCAGTGTCACTCACAAATGTGCTACATCACAGAACCAGACAATATATTCTGTATATTTGCCAAGAGTGCTGAGAGTAGTAATGATAGAATCCTAGATGGGGTCCGTGATGTGTAATGAGATGAACAGAAGCAATCACTAGACAGAACAGGATTTTAATTCGGAGAGGATAGAGCTCAATATGTAAGAGAGAATTTGCCAGCAGCTATATTTAACCCAATACAGGAATAAACACATTTTTAAATGAAATTGTCCAATCCATAATAGTTGCATGCCATTTTTTCACAAGTCTTCTTAATTAAGCTACTCTTTCTTGTTGCATGAGATGCAGACATGGCCAGAGGAAATTTAACCTTCTCACCAAAACTTCCTGCCCTATTTTCCCTCCACCTCCCCTCCCTCTTCCTCCCAGGAAGACAAGAAGAGGTTGTCACGCAAAATCCCCATTATAGAATTCCTAGGAAAACATGTTTAATGACAATGGCAAGAGTAGAGGGTTAGTGACATGTTAAAGAGACAGTGTCATGTAGAAGACAAGTGACCTAATGACAGTGACATGTTTAATGTGTTAAAGGGACAGTCCCATGTAGGAGCAAAGTGACCTAATGACAGCGACATGTTTAATGGGTTAAAGGGACAGTCCCATGTAGGAGCAAAGTGACCTAATGACAGTGACATGTTTAATGGGTTAAAGGGACAATCCCATGTAGGAGCAAAGTAACCTAATGACAGAGACATGTTTAATGGGTTAAAGAGACAGTCCCATGTAGGAACAAAGTGACCTAATGACAGTGACATGTTTAATGGGTTAAAGAGACAGTCCCATGTAGGAACAAAGTGACCTAATGACAGTGACATGTTTAATGGGTTAAAGGGACAGTCCCATGTAGGAACAAAGTGACCTAATGACAGTGACATGTTTAATGGGTTAAAGGGTCAGTCCCATGTAGGAGCAAAGTGACCTAATGACAGTGACATGTTTAATGGGTTAAAGGGTCAGTCCCATGTAGGAGCAAAGTGACCTAATGACAGTGACTTGTTTAATGGGTTAAAGGGACAGTCCCAAGTAGGAGCAAAGCACCTGGCAGCGACACGTTTAATGGGTTAAAGGGACAGTCCCATGTAGGAGCAAAGTGACCTAATGACAGCGACATGTTTAATGGGTTAAAGGGACAGTCCCATGTAGGAGCAAAGTAATCTAATGACAGGGACATGTTTAATGGGTTAAAAGTTTTAATCATTTTTAATTAGTGTATTTGCTTAAATTTGTGAAAATCAGCCCTTTTTATACACTACTATAAGCTGAATCTCGCAATTATCCAGAAAGCAGAATTTCTCTATAGGGCATTAAGAAAACCTACATTTGCGTTTTTATTCATAAGATTGGAATATACCTAATAAATATATATATATATATATATATATATATATATATATATATATATATATATATATATATATCTCCACTCTAGGCAATAATTAGAAGGAAACAAGGAAAGAATGGTTTGACAGAGTAAATAAATGAAATGTTAGGCTGGACACAGAGCCTGCAAAATGCTCTACTTTAGATATAAAAAGATAAATAAATCTACATTAAACAAGCATAAATAAAAACAAAAACAACTAAATAGGTTGACGTCTTTATAAGAACATATTTTCTGCATTTGATTTAAATGAAAAAAATAAAAAACAGCATGGAAATGGGAATTTCAATTAAACTACAGCAAAACAAAAAAAATAAAAATGAAGACATCGACAGAATAAGAGCGAGGCAGTCACATGTAAAACTTCTTAAATAACCGTTCCTGTGCCAAAGGGGGTGTTATACAAGGTGGAGCCCTTGAAACATTAGATTACAAATTTCTGCTAACTGAATTCTAATCATTACTGCTTGAGTTGGAATATTGTATGGTTAAGGTATTTAGGGGGTTGATGAAGTGCAATACATACGTTAGACAGGGCTTTTCCTGAAATGGATAACACTTGCTTCAAATATTGAGGAACCGGCCCCTGCAACCTTGTGATAAACGGGAAGAGGCCGAGCCTCTAGTCCAGGTGTTTTAGGGTGAGGGGCAGTGAAGTTGAAACTTGACACTTCAGATATCAGTGAACTCTAAATCCCATGCTGCTCAGTCATCCAAGAGCATAGCTTAACATCATGGGAAATGGAGTTCAGAAAGGTCTGAGCGCTGAAGTTAGCCATTGCTGATATACAGTAAAATATCTGCGCATGCTCATACATTTCTAATATATATACCTCTCAATGCTTATATATAAATGCTGTGTGTGTGGTCGGATTTCTGGGTTTCCACGCCCAGCCTGAGGGTGCTGACCCCAATTTTTCACATATTTAGGAATCCCAAGGCAGATGCAGATTGGCTGAGACTTCTCCGCATTGGTATGGTGCGCTAGGAGCCGTATCAGGAGCCACGCCGTCACATGGGGCTTCTACACACAAAAAGTAACAGTGAACAAGACAAATGGGGAATCCTTCATTCAGGATGAGTGCAATAAGTCAGAGGGGAGCGGACGGTTAGTCCCAAGTGGATGTATACCGAGGACAGGATGTCTGTCAGAAGCTGGAAAGAAAAACATGCAGAAATGAGCTAAAAGCAGTCCTACTATTTTATCTATTAAATCATTAATTCACTTAATCAATTCCACTTCAACCTTCCCTATTACTCCATATAATCATCTATAAAACTCCTCTTATTACTCTATATAGTACTCTCAATAACTTCTATTACTCTATATAACCCCTCTATAACTCATATTACTCTATATAACCCCTCTATAACTCATATTACTCTATATAACCCCTCTATAACTCATATTACTCTATATAACCCCTCTATAACTCATATTACTCTATATAACCCCTCTATAACTCATATTACTCTATATAACCCCCTCTATAACTCATATTACACTATATAACCCCTCTATAACTCATATTACTCTATATAACCCCCTCTATAACTCATATTACTCTATATAACCCCCTCTATAACTCATATTACTCTATCTAACCCCCTCTATAACTCATATTACTCTATATAACCCCTCTATAACTCATATTACTCTATATAACCCCCTCTATAACTCATATTACTCTATATAACCCCTCTATAACTCATATTACTCTATATAACCCCTCTATAACTCATATTACTCTATATAACCCCCTCTATAATTCATATTACTCTATATAACCCCCTCTATAATTCATATTACTCTATATAACCCCCTCTATAATTCATATTACTCTATATAACCTCCTCTATAACTCATATTACTCTATATAACCCCCTCTATAACCCATATTACTCTATATAACCCCCTCTATAACTCATATTACTCTATATAACCCCTCTATAACTCATATTACTCTATATAACCCCCTCTATAGCTCATATTACTCCTATGTAACCCCCCCTCCTATAGCTCATATTTACTCTGTATAGCCCCCTCTATAACTCATGTGCTCATATAGCCCTCTATAGCTCATGTTACTCATATAGCCCCTCTATAGCTCCATATTACTCTATATAACCCCTCTATAACTCCTTATTACTCTATAAACCCCTCTATAACTCATGTTACTCTATATAGCCCTCTATAACTCATGTTACTCTATAGCCCCCCTCTGCTCATATAACCCCCTCTATAACTCATGTTACTCTATATAACCCCTCTATAGCTCATGTATTACTCCTATATAGCCCCTCTATAGCTCATATTACTCTATCTAACCCCCTCTATAACTCATATGTAACCCCTCTATAACTCCTTATTACTCTATATAGCCCCTATATAACTCATGTGCTCTGTATAACCCCTCTATAGCTCATATTCTCTATGCCAACCCCTCTATAGCTCCTTGTACTCTATATAGCCCTCTCTATAACTCATATTACTCTATATAACCTCCTCTATAACTCATATTACTCTATATAACCCCTCTATAACTCATATTACTCTATATAACCCCCTCTATAACTCATATTACTCTATATAACCCCTCTATAACTCATATTACTCTATATAACCCCTCTATAACTCATATTACTCTATATAACCCCTCTATAACTCATATTACTCTATATAACCCCTCTATAACTCATATTACTCTATATAACCCCCTCTATAACTCATATATAACCCCCTCTATAACTCATATTACTCTATATAACCCCCTCTATAACTCATATTACTCTATATAACCCCTCTATAACTCATATTACTCTATCTAACCCCCTCTATAACTCATATATAACCCCTCTATAACTCATATTACTCTATATAACCCCCTCTATAACTCATATTACTCTATATAACCCCTCTATAACTCATATTACTCTATATAACCTCCTCTATAACTCATATTACTCTATATAACCCCCTCTATAACTCATATTACTCTATATAACCCCCTCTATAACTCATATTACTCTATATAACCCCCTCTATAACTCATATTACTCTATATAACCCCCTCTATAACTCATATTACTCTATATAACCCCTCTATAACTCATATTACTCTATATAACCCCTCTATAACTCATATTACTCTATATAACCCCTCTATAACTCATATTACTCTATATAACCCCCTCTATAACTCATATTACTCTATATAAACCCCTCTATAACTCATATTACTCTATATAACACTCTCTACAACCCCTCGCTTTTTACCTCTTTATTATTAACAGCTACATTGCTGCCGGTTGTGTGCTTGGGTCCCATGCGTGTGCTTAATGTGTCGCGGAGAAGCGTCTCCATACTGGATGCCAGATCCCATTCTCTCAGGGTCAAGCTCTCCTGAAGAAGGAAAATAAGATAATCACTGTGAAAATGGTTTTTAAATTAAATCAGGCTCTTGCCGCATTAAATGAGTAGTCTGCATTCAATAAGAAAAAGAAAAGTGACTTCAATTGCATAGCCAGCACAGAAATAAATGGTGCCCCCCACCCCACCATATTTACAAGATGCCACAAAGGTTCCATATACCATTGTGGTCCCCATGTATAAGCTTCACATTGCTCACCTCCTTTGAGACAACCTGAAAGCAAGTAATGTCAACCAAATAAATAAAATATACAGACATGGCATATTCAGGATGCCAGTGAGGTCCAATTAATTCATATCTTTTTTTCTTCCACGGTTTATCTCTGTAACAGAGGGTGCCTGTCTGGCCTTGAGGCAGTATTCTCCTCTCCCAATGCATGGAACCAGTCTGATGCTGTACGTTGGGCACATATAGTAATATCCAAAAGGCAGAGTTTATTTCAGGAAGTGGTACAGAGGGAACTTTCCCTAGTGCAAGCTTTGAAATGATGTTTTCATGTGAAGTGGATCGGGTAGGACAGGTTAGTCTTTACAGGTAATCTTTTAGTACACAATAATTATATTTAAAGCCATTCCAATCGAAACTAAAGGTGCAGCTAAGGATCCCAAGAATGTAAGCTCAGCAGAAATTACTTTATAAAATGAAAAATCATATTAGCCATATCCAATATTTCACCCAAAACAAACAAAAGGGCAATCAAACAAAATGAAAGAGCACTCTGTGTGAGGGACACACAGCATATTGTCCCTTTGTTAGCAGTGAAGTTGTACAGAGCTGTTGTAGTCTGGTACAAACCGTTACCATCCAGGGCCTGAAGCTACCGGCTGTCTGTGTAAATAAAATGCCAGGCTCTTATAAACACATGTTGCTGGAGGCTCTGCCACTGTATTGCTGTGTATATACAGACCCATCCAGAGCCAATCTGTTTATAAGAGAGCCACATGTGCATTCACTTAATCCTGCTTTCTGCATGTCTTACCTTGTGAGATTCCTGCTGTACAATAACAGGAATGTTTATGCTTAAAGCAATATAAAATCTATTTTATTAGATGGTGTCAGAGCAGGAAGCTCACCTATTGACTGTGAAAATCTACAAAGATAATACTACGTCTCTGTTGATGCTGGCCACTTCAGATCAGGCTGCTCCCTCACAAATGTGACATGGAAGATCTATGATATACACTGTAGCAGCTTCACAGGGGCCGCTATAACATATAGCAGCAGTAGGCATTTTCCCGCTAGATACACTATATGACTTTTCTGGCTGGCAGAGCATCAGACAAAGCTCGCAGTATAGGACATGGTAAAGACTGACGACTTCAGCCATAGAGCATGTTTTCTTTTTATAATTTCGTGGACTTTCACACATTTAGTTTGCTGGTGTGAATACAGAATGACTGCACTACTCAAAGTGTAGTGAAGACATTGACCCATGTGCCTCAGAAGATGCCAGGCATAGCTCACTGGTGAGACTCCGGAGGAGAAAGGGCTGGTACGCCATGCTCAGTGCCTGGACGTTTGAATCAGGATCAGCTCACGTGTACGCGCACTCTGTTTAAAAATGTGACAGCAGGACCTTGAAATGGAGAGCAGGACCTTGATGCAGGGAACACTTGGTCAGAGGACATGGAGCATGAGATTAATACGCAGAACCAGAGATAAGACTCTTTAGAAGAAATAAACAAGTAGTGTTATAAAAAGGTGTACAGGGTAAATGTTAATAGGTTCTGACTATATATAGCTACGTAAACCTATAAATGTAGATAGAAATGTTTATATTATAAAGTCAGCATGTGTGAGCTGGGCTCTCTTCCCTTTGTGACTGTCAACTTTATTTGTTCCGGTTTAAACCCGTTTTTATAGAAAACACTGGCACTATATAAATAATAATAATATTATAATGTGCGTATAGACCGTTGGACATACAGTAAAGGTGTATATTAGTGTAGTTATAGATGCGTCTAATAATGAGCTTGCAATAGTAGTGGGATCACAAGGGTTGAAGATTAGTTGAAATGGATTAAATACCAAAAATGTAAATGCCAGCGACATTAGCCATACGTCAGCTCTCTGAGAGAGATTAAATCTGTAGCACAGGTCAGCCACTTGTAATACTTTTCTGAATGTCATATAAACAATGTACAGAATTGGAACATCCTGCTTTTCCACACTATTTTGTCACAGTAACATCTGCTTTCTTTGTGTATTATCTCGTCATGGTGATGTAGTCCATGTTACTAGCGGTCTATAAAAATCTGTGCTCTTTGAACATTGTTACTTTGTACGGACATCCATCCTGTGAAGTTACCTGCTATATGTGACCCTGTGAAGCAATCTGCTTTGCTGTTCTACAAAAATAAAACCACCTTATGCACAGAAGAAGCAAGTCTGGTCTATTATTTTCATACATTTCAAGTGATAAACAAACCCCTAGAAAACAAATGTGTATCGTGACCTTAGTTTCCTATTTCACACAACCCTTCTCAATACTATGTTCTTGCAATAATCTGCTGCGGACGTAAACAAAACATTTAAAGTTCTCTTGTGATGATGTGATCAACTAAAAGGCTTTCATTTTGTCCATGTACAAGTGACCGAGGTCGTCTTTGAGATGATCCCCTGAGAGTGCTATCTCATTCCATTGTTGGATGACCAAATAGTCCTTATTTTTACTTGGATGTGAATTCACTAGTAATGCTGTCACACAGTGTCGTGTTTCCATGGATGCACAGTAAAGCTATTAGACTTACAGTATTTAATATACAGAGGACGGCCAAGAAGGACACACTATGACCTTGAAATGACCAAATCTAGTCAGTAATATAATGTGCTCTTTATAGCAATCTGAATCAAATGATCCCAGGTAGCAGCAAAATTATAAACTATATATGGGATCAGAGGCCTTAAATTAAACTCCTTCACAATCATCTAGATTGTAATGCCTTCGGTATGTTTCTGTATTTGTCGAATTTTGAATTGTCTCTTAGATGTATAGTATCTTTGTCTTCTGACTTGTACCAACTTTGCCCACTAACAGAACTGGCGAATGCGCTGGTGCTTTATAAAGTATTTTAATAAAGGTGCAGTATGAGCACCATAACCACTACATACCAATGAAGTAGTTATGATCCTATTCAGATAAGGTTGCGGTCCTGTGATTCTTGGTAAATCTCAGTGGACATGCCTGGATGTGACGTGGAACACTTTCACTGGCAATTTCGGCATGGCAGACAAGCTGAGGGGTGCCTTGAAGACCCAAGGTTTTGGTCAAATCATTTATATGGTGGGAATATTGTCCGCAACCCAATGGCACCATAACAACTATATTGGCACAGAGTGGTTATGTTGCATAGACTGCTTCTTTAAATTGTTTATACGAGATGACATTTATTTTAATGTAACATTTAGAATGTAAGCAAAAGCCCTATGTTAAAAAACCTTTAATATTCCATAATCAGAGCTGGACACAGAGAGTGAGCCTGAATGTCTGGATACCATGAATAACTATGATCACTGGAAACCATGTTTGTGAATTCTAGGGATACGAAAATAATAGAGAGGGTAAACAGCTCCCCTTAAGTTTTAATATTGATATAAGTGGCAGCCACAGACATGGTGATTATAGAAGTTAAATAAGTTGAGATCAAAGGAATATGGATTGCAGCAAGGAACAGTGCATTGCTTTCTCCAATGTACCATCAAATAGACCCCCCTACAGCCAGAGGAGCAAAAGACATTTACAAACATTTTTCGTGCAACGGAATGTATCTAAATAACCCAAACAGGCCCCTCTATATGCAAATATTACAATGAGCATTGCATGCCAAGAGTGGAGCCCACTATTAAAATATCTACCCACAGCCAATCAGTGCCTTATTGAGGTCTTGACCATTTTTCTGAAAATGAAGATATAATATTAATAATAATAATAATCATGAGTGTACTTACCTGTATCTATTTTATTTAATATTGTCCGAGCACATTTTAAGAAAGCTTCTTCTACATTCTCTCCAGTGAGAGCACTCGTTTCCAAAAACATCAGGTCTGGGGAAAAAACAAAAACAGGTTATAGCCAGGTGGATCCGACATGCTGGCCACCAAAGGGCCCCATCAACAAGAGCATGACAGCCAGGGGGCTCATCACCCTGAGAGAATTACAGCTGGGCAGCAACACAGCTTTACAGTCCCACAATATACTTGCAGGATGCTGGAATGGATGTGCCCATAATCCCAATCTATTGGAAAAGTGAAGGAGAGCATAGAAAATATTATCTATGTGTGTGGTATTCATTCTCACCATTCTCCTGGGCGAAACGTGAAGCCTCCAGAAAGGTAACCTCTCTGTCAGCATCCAAATCCTTCTTGTTGCCACACAGAATGATGATGATGTTGGGACTGGCCAGAGTCCTGGCATCTGTCAGCCAGTTGGTGAGAGCGTTGTAAGTCTCCCGACTGCAAAAAAAGTTAGGAATAGGTCAGGTCTCCGGTCAACCAAATGCAGGAACCATAAAGTGGTTTAAGCAAATAACACGCAGGGAAACCAGAAGAACAGAAATAATAGAATAAAACAAGTAAGCCAGCAGGCACACTGGCATTCGGAGTCTATTACCTCCACATACACACTCACCTTGCTATGTCATAAACAAGCAGTGCCCCTGCTGCTCCTCGGTAGTAACTGCGGGTAACAGACCTAAAACAATCAATAGATTCATAAATCCAGTTTGTCAGAGTCAGGCTGTAAACGCTGCCACTCAAAGAGCAACTCATTTTCTTAAAAGACTATTTATTATTGTATATTAAATCATTTCACACGGTGAGTGACAACGAGGACTGATAATTAAAAGCAGGACTTGAGGAATGATCTGCACAAAAGTGTGGTAGGGAGCCTGTTACATTGCCCAAACCTTATACGGATTGAGAATATATATATAATGGATTTGCGCCTCACTAGAAGAGTAACTAGGAATGTATTCAATGTATTTACAATTAATGCTTTATCCTCTCAATGTGTTTTAAAAACAACAGTTGCAATTAACCAATAACGTGCGGATAAATCAGTGCATTGTTCCTCAAGAGATTACAGTGGTAAGTAGAAAAGAAAAAAGAAAAAGTTATGTGGCCCCATCTGCTGGTTAAACAAAAAACATTCAGTACATTCACTCAATTACAAAGAATGTAATATTTAATTGTACAGCATACCTGAATCTCTCCTGTCCCGCTGTGTCCCAAATCTGCAGTTTAACCGATTTACCTCCAACGTTGACAATCCGAGAGCCAAACTCCACCCCTATGGTGTGATTGGAGTCTTGCTTAACTGAGGAAGAAATTAAAGTATTAGACACTTTGTTCCTTGCCATTAAAGAGACACTCTACTTTCTAAATAAAATATATTTTTTAAATCACTGTTTAGTAGATATATCCAATGAAAACATGAATGCATTAAACTGAACATTTTTTTATTGACATATGTATAAAAACAACTTGCAAAAGTTGATGATCTCTTGTCTGTAGCCTTTTTAATCCATCCCCTTCTTTCCAAGCCAGTATTTCTGTTGCTGTCCAATCACAGACTCCCCAGTGCAGCTCAATGAGAAGTCTTTGCAAGGCAAGTGCTCTGGGCAATTGCTGCCTCTTGAGTTTATCTCCACTGAGCTAACAACCCGGAAGTAACAGGACAGGGTGTCTGATTGACAGTCATGTCGTGTAACAAGATTAATTTATAAAAGTAGCGGTTTCTACTACAGGGACACATTCTTCACATGTAAAACACTTCAGAGAGTGAGGTATAGTTTCCCCCATACACACACGTATACAAGTCACTGATTTCCCTATGCTGATAGGTATGGAAACAAAAGTCCCCTTTGGAGGGTCGGTACTCACTCCTTCTTTACACGTCACTTGTGTACATTTATGAATAAGCTGACAGCTATGGGTTTGTGCAATTTGTTTTTAAAAAAGGTTTTAATTTAAAAGTTTTCCTAGCTGTGTGAATGTGCTATGTAATTAGAGGAACACGAACGCGTTAGGAATACAGATTTGTATCCCTAACGCTTTAAAAGACCATGTCCCTACTAAAACCTAGGTCTTTATCCAGCATTCACATTTGTGAAAACTATAAAATTGATGTCTTACTCACATTTTTACAGCACCATGGCGCCCTGGGTGCTGCGTATCTCTATGCCACCTTCTGACATCACCGAGGAGGAATGGCTTTTCCACAAAGGTCAAATACAATGCTGTTTATGGAGGAACCCTGTGGACTTAATGCGCATGCTCAGCAAGCGACATACACGCCTCCAAGCTTCCCCCAAAGAATCAGCGTTTTCCTATGGGGTCTTCCGCATCACATGACAGTTTTTCACTATGACATCCACTACAGGAGGATTTCGTTGTACAAATTGCAATTTGTAAAACTGGTTAGAGACACAATAGGTACCCATCTCATGGGAGTGATCTGGGTGCAGTGTCCCTGTCCCTCTTAGTCCTGCAAGGTAAACATTTCAGTTTTTGAGAAATTGCAGCACTAAGACAGCCTATAGTGGCAACACTAGTGATGGCTGATGGAATCCTCCATAGACATTATTGTTGTGAATACAAGCCTGACGTGGGCTCTTGGCAGATAATGTGTATGAAGAGAACCAGCAGGAAGACTATGGCAGCAGTTAGTAGGGACAGGTTCGGGTAACTAAAACTCACCTTTCCCTACACCCACGGCCATCTCGCTGCATCAGCAATGTCAAAGTGGCCCTGTCCCCTCATAGATTGTTTGTTTTCTAATAATTCAACAGCCTGGAGTCAATTATCCCACTTGTACTACAGTAACCACACCTCGAAACATTGTTCAGATGATGTATTTCAAGACGTTTGTCAAGTTTTCATCATTAAAACGCTCTTGTATGTAGGACTAATTTCTTACGCAACTGTAACGCGGTCAAGACCTGTCTGGAACTACTTCAGCACACCTTAGAACGTTCGTCAACCAATCAGATTGAAGCATTCAAGGCCCTGTGGTATAAAAAGATATGTTCCTAGCACTACAGTGTCCTGGTGACCGTTTAGGTGACCAAACCAGTGCTGCCAGTAATTTACTAGCCTTTAAACCCTTGCAAGTCTCCTCCATGAAGCTCCACCACTTTAGCTTAGCTCCAATGTTTTCCCAGAAGAAAGCATTGGGAGGCTAGTGAGCATGCGCTGCACATTGCAGCACAGCGCCAAACATATGGTCTCTCAGAGACCATCTGATTTAAACAGCAGAGTTTTACTCTGCTATTTCATGAAAGTGTCTCAAACTGATATCACAGCATTAAAATTCTCAGGTACAGGACTGAGATAGGCACATAGCACCCAGACCACTGAGCTGACGTGGTCTGGGTGCTTATACTATTCCTTTAAGATACAAGCGGCATAAATAAAGTTAAAAAAAAAAAGGGTCACATTAAACCACTATGTTAGAATACACCTCACCACCTCCTCAGTGACTGTCAGTTCAACCCCTTAAGGACCAAACTTCTGGAATAAAAGGGAATCATGACATGTCACACATGTCATGTGTCCTTAAGGGGTTAAACGCATGTAATTGCAGGATTCAAGCTATGTAAGTGCCCTCAATCACAATTAATCCAGGACAGGTAAACTGAAATCTTCATAAATCACGTACGCAGCATTTTTTAAGATACCTTGATTGTGGGGCATAATCTCTGCCCAGTAATTAAATGTTCACAGTCAGTACTCACATTTACTCTCGATGAACTGGTGCAAGAGGCAGGATTTCCCAGTCCCCGCACTGCCAATAACCAAAAACTTGAACAGAAAATCTAAAAGAAAGGAAAAGTGATTACGTGACTGATATAGTTATTTAAGTAACAAACCTGAGAAGCTAGATGCAGTTAACCACCTGATGGCAGAACATTATTAAATAAATGGTAAACCCAAATTCATTTTATAAATGTCTCGTTTCTTGGCAAAGGTGAACACTGGTTTCTTAATTCTGAAGGCTCTATGGACCTACTCAATATGGAGGACTATGGGATGGCAGCATGGCTCCTGAGGCAGAGGGTTAGGTCTGGTTTCCCCAGAGAAAGGCCATGTCTGAAGTTGTAAATTATTAAAACAATAACAGGCTGCTATCATAGGAGAGATACGTAGACGTACGCATTGCAAGGCATGCTTTTAGCATTGGGTTTCATTTCCTGTTTTGCAGGAGCCGTAGATCTTATCAGAGGGAGACATGAACGAATGCCCCACCTCACACACAGAATATGATCCATGAAGTACCTTAATCATGCCATTATTTTAGGGGCAGTACAAATATCCCATGTGAATCCGCCACGGGTAGATAGATAAACACACACACGCTTATCATTATCACTGTACTGCGGTGAACTGGAAATTGGCTACATTTAAACTGGAGAAAAAATACATTTCTCCAACTCCATTACAGTCATAACTTGGCTATATTCAGATTTGAATTTAATTAAATAGAAAACAATGTTGTGTTTACTGAATACACCATAGATACTGACAGTCAGTCCACCATGTAAACACAGTAGGGTATTTACTAAACACCAAAATGTAATGAACTGAAAAAGCAATGACAAGACGAAGGCAAAAAAATCTATTTTGGAAAATTCTGCTAGGATCATAGCTTGGATATTTTAGTTTACTTTTATCATTTGCTTTTGAGTTGATTAAAATGTGTTGTCTAATGAACACACCACAGATACAGACAAGAAGACTTCACATGCTAGCAGGTATCATATAGACGGTCAATCAGTCCTCACATACAGACAGTCCTCACATAGGCAAAGACAAACAGGCAATCCTTACATAGAGTCAATCCTAACACACAGATAGCCCTCACATTGACAGACCACCCTCATATTGATAGACAGAACTCGCATACACCGAGACAGTCAGCCCTCACATACATAGACAAACAGTCCTCGTATACAGACAGTGCATCAGTTCTCACAGACAGACCTCACATGCAGACAGTCCGTCAGTCCTCACATACACAGAGATGGACAGACAGCACATACACACCAACAGAGACAGTCACCCCTCACACATACAGAGACAGTCTTCACATAAACATTGGCAAAAACAGTCATCCTAACACACACAGAGATAAACAGACAGCACATACACCTTGACAGAGACAGTCAGTCCTCACATACATAGAGACAGACATTACTCACACAGAAAGTCAGTCCTCACATAGACAGAAATTGACAAACAGCACATACACATTGACAGAGACAGTCAATCAGTACTCACATACACACACACAGAGAGACAGACATTCCTCACATTAATAGAAACAGTAAGTCCTTACATAGACAGTCAGCCCTCACATACACAGAGACGGACAGACAGCACACACATTGACAGTCAGCCCGCCCTCATACACATTGACTGACAGACAGCACATACACAGACAGTCAATCCTCACATACACAAAGATAGTCAGGCCTTGCATGCACAGACAACCCACACATTGACAGTCAGCTCTCATACACATAGATGGGCAGACAGCACATACACAAACAGTCAGTCCTCACATACACAGACATACAGTACATACACAGTGACAGACAGACAGCCCTCACATTGACATAGTCAGACAGACAGCCCTCACATTGACAGCCCTCACAGTGACAGAGACAGACAGCCCTCACATACACAGAGAGACAGCCCTCACATTAACAGAGGCAGACAGCCCTCACATACACAGACAGCTCTCACAGTGACAGAGACAGACATCCCTCACATTGGCAGAGACAGATAGCCCCCACAGTAACAGAGACATACAGCCCTCACATTGACACACATACATTACATACACATTGACAGAGACAGACAGCACATACACAGTGACAGAGACAGAACTTACACAGTGACAGACAGTACATATACAGTGACAGAGACAGACAGCCCTCACAGAGACAGACAGTACATACACAGTGACAGAGAAAGACAGCCCTCACAGAGACAGACAGTAAATACACAGTGACAGAGACACCCCCCACAGTGACAGCCAGTACATACACAGTGACAGAGACAGACAACCCAAACACAGTGACAGAGACAGACAGTACATACACAGACAGGCAGTACATACAGTGACAGGCAGTACATACAGTGACAGGCAGTACATACAGTGACAGGCAGTACATACAGTGAGAGACAGACAGCCCATACACAGTGAGAGACAGACAGCCCTCACAGTGAGAGACAGACAGCCCTCACAGTGAGAGACAGACAGCCCTCACAGTGAGAGACAGACAGCCCATACACAGTGAGAGACAGACAGCCCTCACAGTGAGAGACAGACAGCCCTCACAGTGAGAGACAGACAGCCCTCACAGTGAGAGACAGACAGCCCTCACAGTGAGAGACAGACAGCCCTCACAGTGAGAGACAGACAGCCCATACACAGTGAGAGACAGACAGCCCTCACAGTGAGAGACAGACAGCCCTCACAGTGAGAGACAGACAGCCCTCACAGTGAGAGACAGACAGCCCTCACAGTGAGAGACAGACAGCCATCACAGTGAGAGACAGACAGCCATCACAGTGAGAGACAGACAGCCATCACAGTGAGAGACAGACAGCCCTCACAGTGAGAGACAGACAGCCCTCACAGTGAGAGACAGACAGCCCTCACAGTGAGAGACAGCCCATACACAGTGACAGAGACAGACAGCCCATACACAGTGACAGAGACAGACAGCCCATACACAGTGACAGAGACAGACAGCCCATACACAGTGACAAAAACAGACAGTACATACACAGACAGACAGTACATACACAGACAGACAGTACATACACAGACAGTACATACACAGACAGTACATACAGTGAGACAGCCCTCACATTGACACACATACATTACATACACATTGACAGTGACAGACAGTACATACACAGTGACAGACAGCCCTCACATTGACAGAGACAGACAGTGCATACACAGACACACAGTACACAGTGACAGACAGACAGTACATACACAGACAGACAGTACATACACAGTGACAGACAGCCCTCACATTGACACACATACATTACATACACATTGACAGAGACAGACAGCACATACACAGTGACAGACAGTACATACACAGTGACAGAAAGCCCTCACATTGACAGAGACAGACAGTGCATACACAAACACACAGTACACAGTGACAGAAAGTACATACACAGAGAGACAGTGCATACACGGTGACAGAGACAGACTGCCCTCACAGAGACAGACAGCACATACACAGTGACAGAGAAAAACAGCCCTCACAGAGACAGACAGTAAATACAGTGACAGAGACACCCCCCACAGTGACAGCCAGCCCTCACATTGACAGACAGCCCTCACAGTGACAGAGACAGACAGCCCTCACAGTGACAGAGACAGTACATACACAGACAGACAGTACCTAGACAGTACATTCAGTGACAGACAGACAGTACATACACAGACAGTACATACAGTAACAGACAGACAGTACATACAGTGACAGACAGTACATACAGTACATACACAGACAGACAGTACATACAGTGACAGACAGACAGTACATACACAGTGACAGACAGTACACACAGTGAGACAGACAGACACACGCAGTACATACAGTGACAGACACACAGTGACAGACAGACAGTACATACAGTGACAGACAGACAGTGCATACAGTGACAGACAGTGCATACAGTGACAGACAGTGCATACAGTGACAGACAGTGCATACAGTGACAGACAGACAGTACATACAGTGACAGACAGTACACACAGTGACAGACAGACAGTACATACAGTGACAGACAGACAGTACATACAGTGACAGACAGTACACACAGTGACAGACAGTACATACAGTGACAGACCACACACAGTGACAGACAGTACAGACAGACAGTACAGACACAGTGACAGACAGACAGACAGTACATACAGACAGGACATACAGTGACAGACAGACACAGTGACAGACAGACAGTACACACACAGTGACAGACAGAAAGTACACACACAGTGACAGACAGTACACACACAGTGACAGACAGACAGACAGACACAGTGACAGACACACACAGTGACAGACAGACAGTACACACACAGTGACAGACAGACACAGTGACAGACAGACAGTACACACACAGTGACAGACAGTACACACACAGTGACAGACACAGTGACAGACACACAGTGAGAGACAGACAGTACATACAGTGACAGACAGTACACACAGTGACAGACAGACAGTACATACTGTGACAGACAGTACACACACAGTGACAGACACACACAGTGACAGACACACAGTACATACAGTGACAGACAGACAGAATGACAGTACATACACAGTGACAGACAGTACACACAGTGACAGACAGTACATACAGTGACAGACAGTACATACACAGTGACAGAGAGAGAGTACATACAGTGACAGACAGACACAGTGACAGACAGACAGTACACACACAGTGACAGACACACAGTACATACAGTGACAGACAGACAGAATGACAGTACATACACAGTGACAGACAGACAGTACACACAGTGACAGACAGGACATACAGTGACAGACAGTACATACACAGTGACAGACAGTACATACAGTGACAGACAGACAGTATACACACAGTGACAGACAGTACAGACAGACACACACACAGTGACAGACAGACACAGTGACAGTACATACAGTGACAGACAGACAGTACATACAGTACACACAGTGACAGACAGACAGTGCATGCAGTGACTGACAGACAGACAGTACACACAGTGACAGACAGTACACACAGTGACAGAGACAGACACACACAGTGACAGACAGACAGTACACACAGTGACAGACAGACAGTGCATACAGTGACTGACAGAAAGACAGTACACACAGTGACAGAGACAGACAGTACATACACACAGTGACAGACAGACACAGTGACAGTACATACAGTATACACACAGTGACAGACAGACAGTGCATACAGTGACTGACAGACAGTACACACAGTGACAGAGACAGACAGTACATACACACAGTGACAGACAGACACAGTGACAGTACATACAGTATACACACAGTGACAGACAGACAGTGCATACAGTGACTGACAGACAGACAGTACACACAGTGACAGAGACAGACAGTACATACACACAGTGACAGACAGACAGTACATACACACAGTGACAGACAGACACAGTGACAGACAGTACATACAGTGACAGACAGACAGTACACACAGTGACAGAGACAGACAGACACAGTGACAGACAGACAGTACATACCACAGTGACAGACAGACACACAGTGATGACAGACAGTAATACAGTGACTGACAGACAGACAAGTACACACAGTGACAGACAGTACACACAGACAGAGACAGACACACACAGTGACAGACAGACAGTACACACAGTGACAGACAGTACACAGTGACAGAGACAGACACACACAGTGACAGACAGACAGTACACACAGTGACAGACAGACAGTACACACAGTGACAGAGACAGACACACACAGTGACAGAGACAGACACACACAGTGACAGACAGACAGTACACACAGTGACATACAGACAGACACAGTGACAGTACATACAGTATACACACAGTGACAGACAGACACAGTGACAGTACATACAGTATACACACAGTGACAGACAGACACAGTGACAGTACACACAGTATACACACAGTGACAGACAGACACAGTGACAGTACACACAGTATACACACAGTGACAGACAGACACAGTGACAGTACATACAGTATACACACAGTGACAGACAGACACAGTGACAGTACACACAGTGACAGACAGACACAGTGACAGTACATACAGTATACACACAGTGACAGACAGACACAGTGACAGTACACACAGTATACACACAGTGACAGACAGACACAGTGACAGTACATACAGTATACACACAGTGACAGACAGACACAGTGACAGTACATACAGTATACACACAGTGACAGACAGACACAGTGACAGTACATACAGTATACACACAGTGACAGACAGACACAGTGACAGTACACACAGTGACAGACAGACACAGTGACAGTACACACAGTATACACACAGTGACAGACAGACACAGTGACAGTACACACAGTATACACACAGTGACAGACAGACACAGTGACAGTACACACAGTATACACACAGTGACAGACAGACACAGTGACAGTACATACAGTATACACACAGTGACAGACAGACACAGTGACAGTACATACAGTATACACACAGTGACAGACAGACACAGTGACAGTACACACAGTGACAGACAGACACAGTGACAGTACACACAGTGACAGTACACACAGTGACAGTACACACAGTGACAGACAGACACAGTGACAGTACACACAGTGACAGACAGACACAGTGACAGTACATACAGTATACACACAGTGACAGTACACACAGTGACAGACAGACACAGTGACAGTACACACAGTGACAGACAGACACAGTGACAGTACATACAGTATACACACAGTGACAGTACACACAGTGACAGACAGACACAGTGACAGTACACACAGTGACAGACAGACACAGTGACAGTACATACAGTATACACACAGTGACAGTACACACAGTGACAGACAGACACAGTGACAGGACATACAGTATACACACAGTGACAGTACACACAGTGACAGGACAGACATGACAGTACACACAGTGACAGACAGACACAGTGACAGTACATACAGTATACACACAGACAGTACACACACAGTGACAGACAGACAGGACAGTACACACAGTGACAGACAGACACAGTGACAGTACATACAGTATACACACAGTGACAGTACACACAGTGACAGACAGACACAGTGACAGTACACACAGACAGACAGACACAGTGACAGTACATACAGTATACACACAGTGACAGTACACACAGTGACAGTACACACAGTGACAGACAGACAGTGCATACAGTGACTGACAGACAGACAGTACACACAGTGACAGAGACAGACACACACAGTGACAGACAGACAGGACAGTACACACAGTGACAGACAGACACAGTGACAGTACATACAGTATACACACAGTGACAGTACACACAGTGACAGACACAGACACAGTGACAGTACATACAGTATACACACAGGACAGTACACACATGACAGACAGACACAGTGACAGTACACACAGTGACAGACAGACACAGTGACAGTACATACAGTGACACAGACAGTGACAGTACATACAGTGACAGACAGACACAGTGACAGTACACACAGTGACAGACAGACACAGTGACAGACAGACACAGTGACAGTACATACAGTATACACACAGTGACAGTACATACAGTGACAGACAGTGACAGTACATACAGTGACAGACAGACACAGTGACAGTACACACAGTGACAGACAGACACAGTGACAGTACATACAGTATACACACAGTGACAGTACATACAGTGACAGACAGTGACAGTACATACAGTGACAGACAGACACAGTGACAGTACACACAGTGACAGACAGACACAGTGACAGTACATACAGTATACACACATCCCGCCCAGGTGCCCATCCCCCATCTCTCACCGTATGTCTCAGACATGGTGCCTGGTTTCGGGGAGTCCAGGCCCCTCTCCTCCTCCCCCGGGACCTGGCCTGTCTCCTTGGTGAGTTAAGATGGCCGCCCCGGCTTCACGGCCGGTTCCTGCCCTCACTTCCCGTGCCCGGAGCCAGGCGGCTGAGGCTGCATCAGGGAGCTTCTAAGATGGCCGCCACAGCCTCACGCAAGCCCCACGCGCAGCTTCCGCACAGTCACCTGACTAACCTTCACCAATAGGAGGCAAGGGGCGTGTTCGCCGTTCCTGGGCGTGGCCAGCAGCCAATGTGCCCTGTGGGGCTATATAAACAGCAAATACCCCTTTATATTATAATGTTATTATTATTATTATTATTATTAATGTTATTATTGGGCTGAGTGTCTGTCAGCAGGCTGTGTGTCTATTAATATCATTATTATTATTAATAATATTATTAATATTATTATTAATGTTATTATTATAATATTATTATTATTATTATTAATGTCAGACGCTAGGTTAGCCACGTCTTCACAGCGCGATATATAATGTCAGACGCTAGGTTAGCCACGTCTTCCCAGCGTGACATATAATGTCACCACACACTAGGTTAGTCACGTCTTCACAGCGCGATATATAATGTCAGACGCTAGGTTAGCCACGTCTTCCCAGCGTGATATATAATGTCACCACACACTAGGTTAGTCACGTCTTCACAGCGCGATATATAATGCCACACGCTAGGTTAGCCACGTCTTCCCAGCGCGATATATAATGTCAGACGCTAGGTTAGCCACGTCTTCACAGCGCGATATATAATGTCACCACACACTAGGTTAGTCACGTCTTCCCAGAGCAATATATAATGTCACCACACACTAGGTTAGTCACGTCTTCACAGCGTGATATATAATGTCACCACACACTAGGTTAGTGACGTCTTCACAGCGTGATATATAATGTCAGACGCTGCGGTGGCCGCAGGAATGGGGCCGCCCCGAGTAACGATAAAATAACACCAGACTAATTCACTAATCACAAAAAGTGATTTCTAACGGCATGCTGCATACGGCCAGGGTTGGCTGTCCTGGGCGGAAGCCCGAGTAGTATACTGAAGAGCCCAGGTCTGGTATTAGCACAGTTTCATTGTTAGCCCCACGTCTGTTGAAAACATACAATTGAAAGGTTTCTATTTCAGTATTACAATTTGTAATTTCTTCTACTGGAAGGAGCTGTTTCACAGACCCAAGTTGAGGTATGGCGGAGTTTCCTTTGTTGTTGTCAAGTCTCCTTTAATTCTTTTGCTAGGAAATAAAGTATGAATGACATGCTCGAACCACATGGTTCCAACATTATTTCGTTTACAGGCAATGGCTTATTCCTGTGTGAACCAATCAGAACCTGGCCTTTTTGGGATCCCTGAATTGGCAGCCGACAGATACAGTTAAAGGAACCATATCATGCATTGTCAGAGTACAGGCTGTTCATTATTTTTTAATCATTTTATCTGATTGTATTATCAGATATTTATAAACGAATATTTTCACATCACTTGTTATAATCTTATTTTATTTATTTAGTGTTGCTGATAATGAGCTTAATTATTGTTCCCTTTCACAGAGTGCAAGACTTTAGCGATTACAGAGAGGTACAGTAGCTATTTAACACATGTACAACGTGATTTGATTTGAATTGGCTGACTGCACTAAACAGAATTTCTCGTTTGCTGTGCCTGGCTGTGCCATGCCCTCTAACACACTGGGATCTGGTTCCTGAAGCTTATCTTTGGAGAGATTTTCTAACTGTTGAATAGCAGGTTTTATATACATACCTTTCAAGTGTCCCTATTTAGGAGGGACAGTCACAATTTTGGGCCCAAATGCCTCTGTCCTTCTTTTCTCTCGTAATGTACCTCTTTTCTAGGAGCTCCATAATGCTAGTGTGTCTGACTGTATAACAGAGCTCCACAGCAATAATACTCCCAGCAATGTGTCTGAGTGAATAACAGAGCTCCACAGCAATAATACTCCCAGTAATGGCCCTGAATGTATAACAGAGCTCCACAGCATACTCCCAGTAATGTGTCTGAGTGTATAACAGAGCTCCACAGCAATAATACTCCCAGCAATGTGTCTTAGGGAATAAGATCCATGAACTTGTGGCAATAATGGCAACTGATAGTGTAGATTTAGTCGCTGTTACTGAGACATGGTACAATGAGAAAAATGACTGGGACATAGCAATACCAGGGTACTCTTTATATAGGAAAGATAGGGAAGGCAAGAAAGGGGGAGGGGTGGCCTTGTATGTGAAGGATAGCATAAAATCTAGCCTAATAAAAGTTAGTGAGGCAAACATAGAGTCCGTTTGGGCTACGTTAGAATTTGGTAATCACACAGTAACTCGTGTAGGTGTGATTTATAGGCCCCCAGGACAAATTGAAGAGTTAGATAATCTACTAGTTGAGGAAATAGCTAAAATGACAATGAAGGGGGAAGTTATCATCATGGGTGACTTTAATCTTCCTGATGTAAATTGGAAAACAAAATTAGCTACTTGTGCCAGGAGCACACATATTCTAAACTCCCTACTGGGATTGTCTCTAAAACAAGTTGTTGAGGAGCCAACTCGTAAAGAGGCCATACTAGATTTAGTGTTAACAAATGGAGATTTGGTATCAGATATTACTGTAGGTGAAAGTTTAGGATCCAGTGATCATCAGTCAGTGTGGTTTAATATAAGAACAGTGACTGAGTCACACCACACAAAAACAAAAGTTTTAGACTTTAGAAAAACAGACTTTTCTAAAATTAGAATATGGATAGAGGAGTCATTATCAGACTGGAGCAATTTAAATGGAGTCCAAGAAAAATGGGATTATTTAAAAGTTGCTCTATTGAAGGCAACAGAAAATTGCATTAGGCTTGTCAGTAAAAGCAAAAAATTCAAGAAACCACTGTGGTACTCCGCAGATGTGGCCAAAATAGTTAAAAACAAAAAGTTAGCATTTAGGAATTATAAAAAAACCCAGAGTGAGGGAGACAAAATGATCTATAAGATTAGGCAGAAAGAGGCTAAGCAAGTTATAAGAGCTTCCAAATCACACACAGAAGAGAAAATAGCACAGTCAGTAAAAAAGGGGGATAAAACATTTTTTAGATACATAAATGAGAAAAGAAAAGTAAAACAAGGATTAGTTAGATTAAAAACAAAAGAAGGAAGGTATGTAGAAGAGGATAAAGGTCTAGCTGACTGCCTCAATGAATATTTTTGTTCTGTATTTACAGATGAAAATGAAGGAAAGGGACCTCAGTTGAGAAAAAGGATAAATGAGTCATTTATTACACGTGAGTTTACAGAGGAAGAGGTTCTATTTCAACTGTCAAAAGTAAAGACAAATAAGTCAATGGGACCTGATGGAATACACCCAAAGCTATTAAAAGAGCTTAGTGGTGTACTAGCAAAACCATTAACAGATTTATTTAACCAATCATTGTTAACAGGAGTAGTCCCAGAAGATTGGAAGTTAGCGAATGTTGTGCCCATTTACAAGAAAGGTAATAGGGAGGAGTCGGGCAACTATAGGCCAGTAAGCCTTACTTCAGTAGTGGGGAAAGTGATGGAAACCATGTTAAAGGATAGGATTGATGAACATCTAAAACACATGGATTTCAAGATCAGAGACAACATGGGTTTACTTCAGGGAGATCATGCCAAACTAATCTTATTGATTTTTTTGATTGGGTAACTAAAATTATAGATCAGGGTGGTGCAGTAGACATTGCTTACCTAGATTTCAGTAAGGCTTTTGACACTGTTGCACATAGAAGGCTTATCAATAAACCGCAATCTTTAAGTTTGGATTCCAATATTGTTGAATGGGTAAGGCAGTGGCTGAGTGACAGGCAACAGAGGGTTGTAGTTAATGGAATATATTCGAAGCTTGGACTTGTCACCAGTGGGGTACCTCAGGGATCTGTACTTGGACCCATTCTCTTTAATATTTTTATTAGTGATATTGCAGAAGGTCTTGATGGTAAGGTATGTCTTTTGCTGATGATACTAAGATATGTAACAGGGTTGATGTTCCAGGAGGGATAAGCCAAATGACAAATGATTTAGGTAAACTAGAAAAATGGTCAGAATTGTGGCAGCTGACATTTAATGTGGATAAGTGCAAGATAATGCATCTTGGACGTAAAAACCCAAGGGCAGAGTACAGAATATTTGATACAGTCCTAACCTCAACATATGAGGAAAGGGATTTAGGGGTGATTATTTCTGATGACTTAAAGGCAGGCAGACAATGTAATAGAGCAGCAGGAAATGCTAGCAGAATGCTTGGTTGTATAGGGAGAGGTATTAGCAGTAGAAAGAGGGAAGTGCTCATGCCATTGTACAGAACACTGGTGAGACCTCACTTGGAGTATTGTACACAGTACTGGAGACCGTATCTTCAGAAGGATATTGATACCTTAGAGAGGGTTCAGAGAAGGGCTACCAAAACTGGTTCATGGATTGCGGGATAAAACTTACCAGGAAAGGTTAAAGGATCTTAACATGTATAGCTTGGAGGAAAGGCGAGACAGGGGGGATATGATAGAAACATTTAAATATATAAAGGGAATCAACACAGTAAAGGAGGAGACTATATTTAAAAGAAGAGTAACTACCACAACAAGAGGACATAGTCTTAAATTAGAGGGACAAAGGTTTAAAAATAATATCAGGAAGTATTACTTTACTGAGAGGGTAGTGGATGCATGGAATAGCCTTCCAGCTGAAGTGGTAGAGGTTAACACAGTAAAGGAGTTTAAGCATGCGTGGGATAGGCATAAGGCTATCCTAACTATAAGATAAGGCTAGGGACTAATGAAAGTATTTAGAAAATTGGGCAGACTAGATGGGCCGAATGGTTCTTATCTGCCGTCACATTCTATGTTTCTATGTTTCTATGTTTCTATGACTCAGTAACAGACATGATCATCTATCTGTACTGCAAACTATAATAATATCATTCCATGAGCAAAACTGTCTCACATTTTTCCAAACTCACTGTAAATCAGCAAATGTTTAAAACGTAGTTAGACATATAGTCCTTTTGTAGTTTTCTAGTACAAAACGCGTCAGATATATTAATATATAGAATGCACTGCGCAAAGAAAACAATTACAGAAAAGTCGCCAAACTATTTTAATGGGAAAATAATGATTGATTATTCACGCAAAAAAGGCACACTCACCTACGCTTTGATAAACCTCTCAATTTGTGTCTGCTTCTGGCAAATGAACTGATTGCAGTATAATGCATAACTGCACTACAGTAGTAACCTTGCTACCTATGAGGCGCATAGGTAGGTGACCTTTGGCACTCCAGATGGTGTGGACTACATCTACCATGATGCTTTGCCAGCATTATGGCTGCTAGAACATTATGGGAAATGTAATCCAAAACATCTAAAGTGCCAATATTGCACTGTCTCATGACTGTAGTAGTTTTGGCACAGATTAGTAAGGTATGGTAGTTTTACAGAAACTAGTGATTCCATGAAAATGTTTAGGTATTTCACTATTTTCACATTGAATAATCATTTTGTCTCTTTACAGCAGCTTCTGTTTTGAACACTGCCCTTCAGACACCTGTACAGACAGCTCAGGCCATTCAAGCTGTTTACCAGGCTCAGCCAGCAGTGTCAGCCCAGCCACCTCTGCAAACAACTGTCCAACCACAGCCTACCCTCCAGCCTCCCTCTGCCCTCCAGACCCAGTCACCTTTGGTGCCAAATGTGCTACCTAAAGCAGCAGAGCCACAAACACAAATCACAGTACAACCAGCAAGTTTTACCTTTAATCCAGCCATTGTAAGCAACTACTCCTTTATTAAATGTGCTTTTTTTTGGTTGTTGTTTGTTTTTTAACTGATTATGAAATCGTGTGACGGGCATATTGTCATTGTTACTTAAGAGAAAGCAGTCATCAGTTTGCACAGAAAGGATTGTCCTACAGATGGACCGCATAGCATTAATCTAAACCTAAGACAGAACATCATAGGAGGTGTGAAGGATGTGCCACTTACATATATTTTCCTGTGATTTGTTTTTCTTTTTTTGTGTGCATTGAAATGTAAATACATTTTTTGTTAGCTTTTTATAGCTTGTTTAGAACACAAACCTGGACCTCATCAGGGTCAAAGAGAATGTTTCATGTAGTTGATTGTGGAGAAGTAGGGCATTTTCTAAAGCAGAAGGTTTACTTTTATGCTGGTCATTGGGTTGTGTGACCCTTATGTTCTTCATTTGAGCTGAGGGAAACAACTCAATACTGATTTATGATTAGATACGCCTGCAGTGATTTGCCAGAAATGTTTTGGAAGGAGATTTGATGAGTGAATGTGCTGAAACTATGTCCTTCTCTATTTCATTAATTTTTCTCCTTTTTTTTTTTAATTTAGATCAGTGCGGCTTCTTTTGGAGGTCAGACTCAACTCTTGGGCTCACTGGCTACCACTCCAATATTCACCAGTGCTATTTCAGGAGTGCCTAGCATCACAAGCCAAATCCTTACCAATGCCCAGGGCCAGGTTAGTTTCCAGCTGTGTACTACCTATCGAAACTTCGACCATGTCAGACCTGGCAGCATGAAATGTATGTTGTGCCATTTTAAAGGTTCTTAATTTATGAGAGGTAATACATTTAAATGTGATTAATTTCAGTGACTCTGTGCATAGTAAGTAATGTTGTTAGTCAGTGTTGGGTACATGTGGTATAGATCATTCATGAGCAGTAAAATTAATCTCATAAAAAAACAATCTCAGCAGCACAGGATTGAAGAAGCCCCCTGGTCACCAATACAGTGTGCATTTCATAGGTTTTACCCTCATATCCATGCTCTGTTTATTTCCCTGTCGAAATCTCTTTAGTTTCGCTAAAAACAAAACAAAAAACAATTTTTTTTCAGCTTCCTGCAGCATAACCTCATCCCCTTTGCTAAGCACCCTTGTTTTACAAATTTACCTGTATACCAAGATCCGGTATAGATTTGATGTTTAGTAAATACAGTCAGGTCCATAAATATTGGGACATCGACACAATTCTAATATTTTTGGCTCTATATACCAGCACAATGGGTTTGAAATGAAACAAACAAGATGTGCTTTAACTGCAGACTTTCAGCTTTAATTTGAGGGTATTTACATCCAAATCAGGTGAACGGTGTAGGAATTACAACAGTTTGTATATGTGCCTCCCACGTTTTAAGGGACCAAAAGTAATGGGACAGATTAACAGTCATAAATCAAACTTTCACTTTTTACTACATGGTTGCAAATCCTTTGCAGTCAATTACAGCCTGAAGTCTGGAACGCATAGACATCACCAGACGCTGGGTTTCATCCCTGTTGATGCTCTGCCAGGCCTCTACTGCAACTGTCTTCAGTTCCTGCTTGTTCTTGGGGCATTTTCCCTTCAGTTTTGTCTCCATCAAGTGAAATGCATGCTCAATCAGATTCAGGTCAGGTGATTGACTTGGCCATTGCATAACATTCCACTTCTTTCCCTTAAAAAACTCTTTGGTTGCTTTTGCAGTATGCTTCGGGTCATTGTACATCTGCACTGGGAAGCGCCATCCAATGAGTTCTGAAGCATTTGGCTGAATATGAGCAGATAAAATTGCCCGAAACACTTCAGAATTCATCCTGCTGCTTTTGTCAGCAGTCACATCATCAATAAATAGAAGAGAACCAGTTCCATTGGCAGCCATACATGCCCAAGGCATGACACTACCACCACCATGCTTCACTGATGAGGTGGTATGAATCAAGAGCAGTTCCTTTCCTTCTCCATACTCTTCTCTTTCCATCACTCTGGTACAAGTTGATCTTGGTCTCATCTGTCCATAGGATGTTGTTCCAGAACTGTGAAGGCTTTTTTAGATGTTGTTTGGCAAACTCTAATCTGGCCTTCCTGTTTTTGAGGCTCACCAATGGTTTACATCTTGTGGTGAACCCTCTGTATTCACTCTGGTGAAGTCTTCTCTTGATTGTTGACTTTGACACACATAAACCTACCTCCTCGAGAGTGTTCTTGATCTAGCCAACTGTTGTGAATGGTGTTTTCTTCACCAGGAAAATAATTCTTCGATCATCCACCACAGTTGTTTTCCGTGGTCTTCCGGGTCTTTTGGTGTTGCTGAGCTCACCTGTGCGTTCTTTCTTTTTAAGGATGTTCCAAACAGTTGATTTGGCCACACCTAATGTTTTTGCTATCTCTCTGATGGGTTTGTTTTGTTTTTTCAGCCTAATGAGGACTTGCTTCACTGATAGTGACAGCTCTTTGCATCTCATATTGAGAGTTGACAGCAACAGATTCCATATGCAAATAGCACACTTGAAATTAACTCTGGACCTTTTATCTGCTCCTTGTAAATGGGATAATGAGAGAATAACACACACCTGGCCATGGAACAGCTGAGCAGCCAATTGTCCCCTTACTTTTTGTCCCTTGAAAAGTGTGAGGCACATATACAAACTGTTGTAATTCCTACACCCTTCATCTGATTTGGATGTAAATACCCTCAAATTAAAGCTGAAAGTCTGCAGTTAAAGCACATCGTGTTCATTTCATTTCAAATCCTTTGTGGTGGTGTGTAAAGCCAGAATTAGAATTGTGTTGATGTCCCAATATTTATGGACCTGACTGTATGTGATCCCAAACAAAATCTGGTGCTTAATGAGTAACTCCCATTGTACTGGACATTTGAAAATGTGTTGAACATTTTTTTTTAATGTCGCTTTTGCAAAACTAGATAAATAATTTGTCGCTAACCTTGGCTTGATGTAGGTATATTTGGGATTCATCTGGTTCATACAGTTACTCCTCGCTGTATGTTTCAAAGCCTGGCGTAACCATCTCAGTGAAATGTTTAACACACAGTCCCCCCAGCAGCCCCAGAGTATCTGTTGCGTACAGTTTTTGATGCAGTTCCAATATGGCCACCTCAAATTTGAATAAACCTTTATCTCTTCCAAGTGGTAACAGCAACATTTATGGGACACTATTGCCACTATAACCATTTAATCTCATTGAGTTGATTATAGTGCATGGAGTTCCCTGGTGCTGCCCCTCCATTCAGTGTTAAATAATTTTTAAGTAGTTGAACACTGCATTAGGGTCCCTGGCCGCCCACCCTCATTCCACTACTGGAGATATGGCTTAGGCAGAGATTACACACCTAATTTTAGCCTTACCAATTAATAACAGCAATGGGTGCTGTGATAGGTTGATCTGGAAGATGACACTCTGTGCCTGAGCAGCAGTCGGCAGCTATGATTAAATAATTCTTCCTTACTAGATCTAGCAGCATAGCGGGGATGGGTTGCTGGGGACTCTCCTTTAGTATGAAAACATTAGAAACGGTTTAATCCCTTGGATCGTCCGATGACTACACTAATTCCAGTGCCTACAGTGTTCTAGGGAAACTTTCACTAGAGATTTTTGTACAACCATATATTTAACTAAAATTTAGCTGTAAGTTGTGTTTTCCTTTTTTAGCTTGTTTAAATTCTCAGTGTTTTTTATTTTTGAATAAGCTAGAGGATGCTATGTAATGTAATGAAACCACCCAGGTGTCATAGGAATAAATCAGAACTGTCACTTTCATAAGTATCAGTTCTAATTTATTTATAACTTGATGTGATGAAAATATTATTAAATTCTTTTATCAGAGCATGTACAGATGTTTAAACAGCAACTAGATGCATACTTGCAAAAATGGAATATTCAGGGATATAATTTTTAAATTGTAGGGTAATAGCTTCTTTATCCATTGATAAACCTGACTGCTATTCTGGGGTCAAGGAGGAATTTTTTCCTAGTTTGTTACAAAATTTGAAGTGCTTCAAAAGTTTTTTTTTGCCTTTTTATGGATCAACAGCAAAAAAACAGAGATGTGTTAAAGGGACACTATAGTCACCTGAACAACTTTAGCTTAATGAAGCAGTTTTTGGTGTATAGAACATGCCCCTGCATCTTCACTGCTCAATCCTCTGCCATTTAGGAGTTAAATCCCTTTGTTTATGAACCCTAGGCACAGCCTTCCATAAACACTTCCTGTAAAGAGAGCCCTATTTAGGCTTTCTTTATTGCAAGTTCTGTTTAATTAAGATTTTCTTATCCCCTGCTATGTTAATAGCTTGCTAGACCCTGCAAGAGCCTCCTGTATGTGATTAAAGTTCAATTTAGAGATTGAGATACAATTATTTAAGGTAAATTACATCTGTTTGAAAGTGAAACCAGTTTTTTCTTTTCATGCAGGCTCTGTCACTCATAGCCAGGGAAGGTGTGGCTAGGGCTGCATAAACAGAAACAAAGTGATTTAACTCCTAAAAGACAGTGAATTGAGCAGTGAAATTGCAGGGGAATGATCTATACACTAAAACTGCTTTATTTAGCTAAAGTAATTTAGCTGACTATAGTGTTCCTTTAATAGGTGAACTTGATGTAAATATGCCTCTTTTCAGACATTGTAACTATATAACTATTGAGATTATCATTTTAAACTGTATTATATCAAAATTTTAGACAATCAAGCTGCTTTAACGTTGTTATCTTGTCAATGTCCTGATCATTTCTCTGTTGGTGTGCAGGTTATTGGCACCCTTCCGTGGTTGCTGAACTCCTCAGGAATTACTGCGGGTGCTGCAACAGCTGCTGTGTCTGCCCAGAATATGGTGCATGCTGTAACTCCTCAACTTCTGTTAAATGCCCAAGGACAAGTCATTGCCACGTTGGCAAGTAATACCATACAGACACCGGTCATCCGGAAAACTGCCTCGCCAGATACACCAGCTAGGACAGAACCACAGGTAACAGAGGGAAAGATTTTTTTTAAAAAGGGATGCTATGGGCACCAATACAACTTTAGCTTACTGAAGCAGTTTGGATGTATAGATCATGCCCTCGCTGCAATCTCACTGCTGAATTATCTGCCATTTAGGTAATTTAAATCACTTTTGTTTCCGTTTATGCTGCCCATATTACATTTTCATGTTTTCTTTTAGATGTTAACTTGTCTTGGAAGTTGATATCTCCTGCTCTGTAAATTGAACTTTAAAGGGACACAATAGGCACCCAGGCCTCTTCTGCCCATTGGAGTTGTCTGGGTGCCAACTCCCACTACCCTTAACCCTGCATGTTTAATTATTGCAGTTTTTTATAAACTGCAATAATTACCTTGCAGGGTTAACTCCACCTCTAGTGGACTACTAGACAGCCACCAGAGGGCACTTCCTGGATTATAGCACAGAAATCCTCTACTAGAGCATCGCTGGACGTCCTCATGCTATGTGAGGATCTCCAGCGTCGCTCAATTTCCCATAGGAAAGCATGTAAAAGCATTTTCAATGCTTTCCTATGGAGAGCTCTAATGCGCATGCGCGGCATTGCCGTGCATGCACATTAGGTTTCCTCAGTCGGTTGGCGTGATCAGTATTGCCCAACGACTGACGTAATCACAGAGGAGCGATGGCGAGCAGAAACCACTGCATCGGCAGGGTCTCAGGTAATTGACCTGAAGGGGTTTTCACACCTTCAGCAACCGGGCATTGGGAGGTGGGAAGGAGAGGGGACCTGCAGTGCCAGGAAAACGGATTGTTTTCCAGGCACTGGAGTTTCCCTTTAATCATAATCAGAAGGCTCTGCAGGTCTCGAAGGCTATTAATAGAGCAGGAGATAAGTAATTCTAAATTAAACATAGTTTGCAATAAAGGACAGGTAAACATTAGATCTCACTTTACAGTAAGTGTTTAGGAAGGCTGTGCAAGTCAAATGCAGGGAGATGTGCCTAGGGCTGCATAAACAAAGTGATTTAACTACTAAATAGCAGAGAACTGAGTAGTGAGACTGCAGGGGCATGATCAATACACATAAACTGTTTCATTAAGCTAAAGTTGTTTTGGTGCCTGTAGTGTCCCTTTAATTTTGATATTGTCACAATATATGTCTAAAAACAGCAAGCTCTATATATAATAATAAAATCTATAAATAAAACAAAAAATTATCTGAGTCCGTTGTAGACTTTGGTCTCTTGGGTACCCTGATATTGCACATTTAGTGCCTGAGCGTCTGGCAGTCCTGTACATGAACAGTCTTATGGGGGGTATTGTGAGTGCGATATCCTCCACACCGCTTGCCTTTCAGTGCGCTTCTCCTGCTCCCTGTTGTTATCAGTTGCGGCTGGTGAGGTGTCATTCATTTCTGATGTCACACCATCCAGGTCTTGTTTCCAGACCTCCCGTAGGTCTAGCATTAATTTTTTGATGTGTCCCTTGGTGGACGGGAAATCTTCTGAGTCGGAATCCATTCACTGATACACCTCTCAGTGGCCTTGGAGATTGTGTCATTAGAACTCTGCAGCCTAGCATCTTAGGTCGTGATAACTGTATATGATTGCCTGATATCAGGCAATTTAGAGGCGTCAGAGTGATTCATTTTCTCCTTTTTTGCCCCATCTCTCTGTTGTGGGGTAAGGGGTGAAGTGAAGCTCTTCTGATAAAGCTTTTGATTGTAAGATTGTGACTTTATAGTGAATTAATCAATATGGTCAGCCAGGAGCTCTACACCAACACGTCTGCTCAGTTTCCCAGCTAGCCACGCCCCCCTAAACCACTTTTTAACACTGGGGTGAGGCTCTTTGATGCTGTATCACAATCCTTGAAATACAAGTGTGAGAGACAGCATTACACAGAACACTGCACAGCATGTGTAATCTTATTCGGAATCTTAGAAAGTCTGTCAAGTCTTAAAACAAATTACTTGCTACAGAACGTCTGTAGGTGTGGAACACATATCAATCAACCACTACTGGCTAATTCTGTGATTAGTGAAGGAATGTCCTGACCTTTGTACATACCTTGTTATTATTATGTGTATTCTCTTTTCCTCCTGACTAGCCAATTAAGTGTCGCTCCACACTTTTTCAAACAATCATTTTTAATATATAACTTCATTATTAAAGTAATTTTGTTAATCTTGTTATTTCACAATTCTTTGCATCAATTTATTTCATTTTATGTCTTTTTTCCCCCCAAGATTCAATCAGCTCCACAAATCCAGCCTGCACCTGTTATAACACAGCCTTCAGTGGTTGTGGCGAACCCATCTCCAGCCACAACATCAACTTCTACTCAAGTCCATATTAACTGCTCAGAGCCCCCAACTGTGGGTCAACTGGTGTCAAGTAAGGAAATATATGCAAAAACATTGTAATGTACACTGGTTTTGATGCAAAGTTCTAATGTGATGCACTTCTATAGGTCAAGCTTCAACAATTATTTGATTTCTTTAAAAATGTCAGTTGTAGATTTAGTAGCTGTAAATAAAGATTTCTCACTTGGCTTCTTGTCCAAAGAACCCGTTATGCGTGCATTAAAAGTCTATCAGTTATGTTGTTAATGTAATTAAACAAGGTTATATAACCTATTTAGCTGGAGAAAAAGTCCATGTAAAAGGCTCCCATCTACACAATTGGTGATGGTTATAAACTGATATTACTTACCTAGATGCATTGCTAGGTCTCACATGTACATGAACCCACAAATGTATGTATTTGGCCCCTCACCTGGCTCCACATCAAAATAATCCACATTTTAATACTCCCACTCAAAACCCAGGAGATAACTCTGTTCAAGGTGCTGCTAATCCATAATCTAAAGGCACATGCAGTAAGGATATTGACCAAGGGACAGTTCAGGGTGTCTCCTACCAACTAAAACCATACGTTGGGGAAGGCCTATGAGTATATCTCCTAGTCAAAAAAAAGATAAACCGGGGATAACCCTAATTACTAAAATTAGAAAAGGAATGAAGATAATATCTATATTGTCTTCATTCCTTTTCTAATGGCACATGCAATTGACATCTGTAATGAAAAATCTCCCTCCTCAAACATTAGACTTAGACCAAAGACCAAGTTGGTGGTCCAGTGGTGTCAGAGCTGGATGAATCTGAGCCTCTCCCTTGCTGTTCATGGAGGGGGCTAATACACATATGACACCGGGGCCAGCCAAGTCAGTACCACCCATCCCACCACACATCAAACATCCTGGAGGGTGTTGTGGAAAGGGCAGTTTGAGGGCAGGAGGATAGCTTAAGAAGAGGCATTGTCATGTCTCATTTGCAGTACTATGTGTGATAGAATGTCTAATATAATATTATATACAACTATCTATATAACAGCATCTCTCTTGCTATGTTTCTTGGTCACTAGAGCAACACAGTGGGGGCTATGATGAAGATGGAATAAACCTGGAAGAGATAAGGGAATTTGCTAAGGATTTCAAAATCCGACGACTGTCACTGGGCCTGACACAGACTCAGGTCGGCCAAGCTTTGACTGCCACCGAAGGTCCCGCTTACAGCCAATCGGCCATCTGTAGGCAAGTGTACTCATCTACTGAAGACTCATTTGTGCTGCTGTTAGTAAGGGCATAGTTCTGCTAACTGGTTGACTTTACACTGATTGCACCTACATGAGTTAAAGGACCTCTATAGTGCCAGGAAAACATACTCGTTTTCCTGGCAGTATAGTGCCCTGAGGGTGCCCCCACCCTCAGGGACCCCCTCCCGCCAGGCGGGGGAGGAAGAGGTTAAACTTACCTCTTTCTCCAGCGCCAGGCGGGGGACTCTCCTCCTCCTCTCCTACTCTTCGGCTGAATGCGCATGCGTGGCAGGAGCCGCGCGTGAATTCAGCCAGTCTCATAGAAAAGCATTTATAATGCTTACCTATGGTCGCTGGCGTCTTCTCACTGTGAAAATCATAGTGAGAAGCACGTAAGTGCCTCTAGCGGCTGTCAAGAGACAGCCACTAGAGGCTGGATTAACCCCTAACATAAACATAGCAGTTTCTCTGAAACTGCTATGTTTATAGAAGAAAGGGTTAACCCTAACTGGACCTGGCACCCAGACCACTTCATTAAGCTGAAGTGGTCTGGGTCCCTATAGTGCTCCTTTAGATGACCAAAGATGTAGGTAATTATTAGTATGATTTCGATGCTTTCTTTCTATCCGTATTGTGAAATCACATCTTGTCTTGTGTGCAGATTATTTCTGTCCAATATCAGCCAATTTATACGTGTCAGCTGTTGTGGCTTTTAAATATACAGGGAACATTTTATATTGCAAATGCAAAGCATGTATCATGTTTCTACAAATTATTTAAAGTGACTAGCTTCATTAAATTTCATTATGATTACATGACGTACCTCACCTGTTTTATTAACTGTATTAACCCACATACATTAATGGCAATCACAGAGATTACAGTTTTGCTACAATTCCACCTTTACGTTTGGAAGGATTCATGACGTGAATATTTTATTTGTGTGTTTTCATTCAAGCAGACATGCTTTTGTACGGACAACGGTTATTACAACTGTCAGTTCAGGCTTGGCAAAACGCCAATTAATAGGTCTGGTAATTCTCATGAGTCTGTGGTATTGTGCTCCATAGATCTTAGGTATTTTTTTTATAAATGCTAGGTTATTCATACATCTCACGCACATGATAATTGTGGTGATTGTAAAGGCGCTGTTATATTTTGTTTTATTGTGTCTCTTTCAGTCTGAATTTCTTCCTCCAAATTCTAAGTGTTACACTAACAGTATTTGTTATGTAACTGCAGCAGCATTACACACAAACAACAAGAGCCTGATACTGAGCATTCCTGAGATGAACTAAAATGAGTTTGGTTTTAATCTAATTTTGGACTTTTAGGACAATAAATAAATGATGTCAGCTGCGGAACTACCACCAGTGAAACTGTTGCACATGCACAGGGGGCTGTACGCTGAGGGGGGCCCATCACTTGGTCCATGCAGTTAGGGCCAGCAAATGGCAATGTGTGTGTGCCTGTGTATGTCTGTATATCTGCATGTCTTTACCAGTATATCTGTATGTGTGTCAGTGTTTTGTATCTGTGTATCTGCAGATGTGTCTGTGGGTGTGTGTATAAGTGTCAGTGTATATGTGAATATATCTCAGCTTTCAAATGTTAATTCTACACACAAATACACCCCTGCACCCCCTACATACAGACACACCTTTCTTTACATTCAAAGACAAACGCTACTAACACTAACACTAATTAAACCAATGCTTTCAAATGGCAACAATACATAAAAAAACACAACACTACACAGAAATACACCCCTAGCTTCACACACACGTAATCCATACAAAAACCACCTTACATACAAACACACAAACACTGCTCAGTGCTAAATAAAACCTTGCAAGGATGGGAAAATGTTAGATCCCCAGCTAGGTCGGGCCCCAAAACATTCTTGCACTAGGTCCCTTTCTACTTTAGTTCCTCCATTATTTGATGTTATTATGATTATTATTGCTTCATACTATGAAGTCATTCGTGCGATGAGGTCAGGGAACTGCATGTATTGTTTCACCCTCTGATTATTATGTACTATGATGGTTAACTGCAAATTTAAAATTTCAGGAGTTGATAAATGCAGCTGTTAAATCATCTGTAAATCATGTTTAAAGGAAAGCGGGCAACTGTAAGTTTTGTACATAATTAATTAGATCTTCTTTAACTTTTTCCAAAGGTTTGAGAAGTTGGACATCACCCCTAAAAGTGCTCAGAAGCTAAAACCCGTCTTGGAGAAATGGTTGAATGAGGCAGAGATTAGGAATCAGGAGGGGCAGCAGAATCTAATGGAGTTTGTAGGTGGAGAACCATCAAAAAAAAGGAAAAGACGTACATCTTTCACTCCGCAGGCTGTAGAAGCTCTTAACTCGTACTTTGAGAAGAACGCACTGCCCACTGGGCAGGAGATCACAGAGATTGCAAAGGAGCTGAACTATGATCGAGAGGTGGTGAGGGTGTGGTTTTGTAACAGACGCCAGACTTTAAAAAACACCAGCAAGCTTAATGTCTTTCAAATTCCCTAAAGAAACCAAAACAATATCATTACCACCACTTATCCCCTTCCATCAAATCCCCTACTTACTGGAGGTGATTCCATGTGACGTTCTTTTGTGAAAGCACTTTGTGACTCAGTTCCTGCTTTGCCGTAACATAGACAGCTGTCCCATGCAACCGACCCTTTGCCTAATTTTTTTTTTTTTTAATACAAAAAACAAGCGTGGTAAAAGGTTGATAGCCATCTTGACCAGAACTCTCAGGTGGCCTTCTTACAAAGATTTGGATATACTTTGTTCTCAAAGTGCCAAATTGATCTCCCTTTATGTTGGGAAACCAAACCTTTGGCTTGAGTAAGAAACAAGGATCATTACTTGTTGCTCTAACTTAGTTATGACTATGTGGTTTGCCTGGGATAGCACTTACCTGGGATAATCTGGGAAACCCTTACTCAGCAACACCACAGCAAGAGGAGTCTTTGAAGGCCAGCAAAGATAATTTTAAAACCAGAGATTTTATGTATCACATTTTATGTTTTATCTACATTCTATGTTTTATCTATGTTTTTTTTGTGTGTTTTTTTATATATATACATTTTGCACAAATTAATTTGTTCATCAACTGCTTTCATGTGCACGTTCCACTGCCAGAACCCAGAGGCATGTTCATTCTGCAGGAAGCATGCCCATTATTCAATATGTGTTCCGAAAGGTAAAAAAATAATTATTGCGGGTCAAAACTTTGGATGATGAGGAAAACGTTTTTTCATATTATTTTATATTTTTTATATCTACATATGTATATTTTTTGCAGTGAGTGTTGCTTGCATTTAGAAACTGTGTGTCTGCAGAAACAGACCATTAACACACTTGCTTGCAGTTTTCCAGAACTAGTGTTAACCTGATTATTTATTCATTTGAAATTATGTTATTTTATTGTTTCTAAATCTTGATTGTTCTCCCAGTGCTGCACTGGAGTGGAGTTAAAAATTCCACTAAAATAACAAATTAATTTGCAATTTAGCGCTTTATCGCCAAGTGGGACAAAATAACATTTCTATATACGTGTGAGTGTATGTAGGTGTTTCAATAAATGTTTATTTTTGTTTAATTGCTAAGATTTTCAAATTGTTATATATTTGTGTGCAAAAGAATGTGAATAATACATGCGTGTGTTTGTAAACACACTGATTTCTACTGTATTTATGGATACGTAGATTGATCGTAATTGTCTCTGCCTCAGTAGACTTTTATTGAAATAACGGTTTGGTTGGGTAGATGAAACCTTGATCAATGTATCCCTACTTACAGGCTCATGTTTGATTCACATGATAAATCCTATGAAAGGCTATGTTTTCTGAGGTCTGCATAGTATTTATAAATAAAAGAGTAAAACAGTTGATAATATTAATTTTGATTAGCCCAACATAGCCCGGATACCAAATGAAGCCAAACAATATAAATATATATATGGATATAGGCTTGTTCATTTGTATATTGTTTATGGTGGGCATGTTACTTCCATGATGCAGATACAAATTAACTGAGAATTATGCAACATATTTGTGCAAGAATGTGTTTTAGCTAGTTCGAACAATTAGATTCCTTTTACTCTACCCCCAAACTAACCAATCTGCCAACTCCAAAGGTAGATCACATTTCTTCGTTCCGGCTCAGATTAAAAGGCATTTGATTTATGCGCACCGGCTGAAAACATTTGTGTACAGGTTTTGTATGCGATAAAATATAATTTTATTGAACGACCATACCATTTTAAAGATGAGTATTTTCTTTCTGTGCAAAGTATATGAACTGAGTATTTGATAATGTTACTCACAAGCCCAATGATTAGCACACTACAGAAGGTTAGTACGAAAAAAACAAACAAAGGACAGCCACTTAACTAGAGTGTGTTCCCTACCTACAAAATATAAAGTACATGCTGTTTACATGTTAGGGGTGGCTGTGAAATAAAAAACAACATTTATATTTGTATTTATTTAGGAATGCACAATGTCAGAAGCAGATCTTGGCTTTAAGATAGTGTCCTAAATGGACTCTTCAAACACCATAACCCTTATAGATTTCTGAAATGGTTATGGTGCAGTGAAGCAATATGCAGAGTACCTAATTTTTTGGCACATTGTTTTCAGTCATATGAAAAACTGGCAAAAAGATTATCCAAGCACCCAAAGTTCATCCCTTACTTTACAACATCATAATGGAAACACATAGCTTCCTCATTACAGTTTTAAACTAGTATCAATTTGGGTGCTATTGAAAAGGCCTGGGTCAATTTGGCATGGCCATATGATGCTGTACTACACCTTGATGCATAGGCAGGCTTTACAAGGATTTGGACAGATAAAGAGAAAGTTATTTTTTTACTATGACGATGGAAAGCAATATGATACATTAACATGCCTCTGCTGTCTAATATAGTTAATTGACGTTACAGGTGAATGTTGCTTTGAAGGTCACATGGTTTATTAATGTCTCCTGCACCTCTAGATGGCATTATTTTCCCTAAAACACGTTTCACAGTTGAGTATCTTTTATATTACAGGATATTTTTGGGTGTGCCCCTTGGCAGTGTTGCTCCCACAACTTAGCAGAGCAGGACATGTGTTTCCGAGTTCTGCCTGAAATTAAGACCCCAGGCTGCAAGGAGGTGATCTGCATGTTATCCCCCCTTCATTACAGAAACATTACCATCTGTGCACTATTCAAAACCATGAACTGCATAGGATTCCCTAATCTTGATCATAGCAGAAAATATATGTCTCAGTCTAACACAGATTAGTGTGAGTCAGGGCCGGTGCAAGGATTTTTGCCGCCCTAGGCAAAAGAAAGATTTGCCGCCCCCCCCGGAACATCGCAATGCCCCACCCATATGAACTAATGCCAGTGCTGCACACAGTGTGTGTTTACATTAAAAAGCCTGCAGGGACAAACTATAGACACCAGAACAACTTTATTAAGCTGCAGTGGTTCTGGGGACTATAGTGTCCATTTAATGTGAGGTAAATTAGAGATTAGTGTCACTAATAATATACTAGATTGCCGACTTACAATCAGATGAGGACGGTGATGGGCTCTGGCTGCAGTCTGGCTCCACTGGTCTGGTGTAGAACAGGATCTCTGGAGGCTGTTTGCAACTGTGGTCACAAAATTCAATGTTCTGGGAGAACGGGAAGCAGCTCCATTTTTGGGGGCCTCTTACATAGCTCAAGGTCTGGGCCCCAGGGCCTGACGGTGAGTATGCCCATAAAGCCCACCCATAAGGCCACCTACATGTTCCACCCATGAACTCACAGGGAGTAGAGTGTGTAGGGGATGTGTTATGTGTTACTGTAGAGGATCTAATGTGTGTGCTTACGGAATGTAGTGTATAGGGATACCAGTTTGTGTAGGTGATGCAGTGTTGTTTGTGTAAGGGATAGAAAGCAGTGAGTGTTTGTGTATAAGGGATGTATTGTGTGTTTCTTGTTGTGTGTTAGGGATGCATTGTGTGAATCTGTGTTTGTATGCATAAGGGATGCAAAGTGTGTTTCTGTGTATGTAAGGGATGCAGTGTGTGTGTCTGTAAGGGGTGTGTTGAGTGTGTGTAAGAGATGCATTGTGTTTCTGTGTGTGTGTGTAAGAGAAACAGTGTGTGTTTGCATGTGTGTGTAAGGGATGCATTCTGTGTGTTCTGTGGATATGTGCAAAGGATGTATTGTCTTTATGTGTAAGGGTTGCATTGTGTGTTTCTCTGTGTGTAAGGGAAGCATGTTGTGTTTCTGTGTGTATAGGGATGCACTGTGTGTGTGTGTGTGCGCGTGGTGTGAAAGAGCTCCCTGTCCCCCTGTCCTATAGAGCTCTCATTTCCATTCCTTAGAGATCTCCCCTGCCCCTTAGTGGTCTCTCCTCTCCCCCCCACCTCCCTTAGTGGTCTCCTTTTCTCCCCGACTTTTCATTAGTGGTCTCTCCTCTCCCCCCACCCTCCCCTATCCTCCACCCCCCTCCCTTAGCGGTCTCTCCACTGCCCCCTCCCTCCTTTAGTGGTCTCTCCCTCCCCTACTTTCTCATCTCCCACCCCTCGTGTTCTCCTCTTCTTCTCCCCCGTGTTTTCCTCTTATTCCCCCCCTCCCTGTGTTCTCCGCTTCTTCTCTCCCCTGTAATCTTGTCTTCTTCTCCCCTCCCCCGTAGTAACTTCTTCTCCCAGTAATCTTCTCTTCTTCTCCCCCATCAATCATCTCCCCCCTCCATCAATCATCCTCCCCCACTCCCATCAATCATCTCCCCCCCTCCTCCCCATCAATCATCTCCCCATCATCTCCCCCTCCATCTTCCCCCCCTCCCATCAAATCATCTCCCCCCTCCCTCCCATCCGTCAATATACACCTCCCATCAAGTCATCTCCCCCCATCATCCTCCCTCCACATCTCCCCATCATCATCTCCCCCTGCCTCCCATCAATCTCCCCCATCATCATCATCTCCCCCCATCATCATCATCTCCCCCCCCTCCCAGCAGCTTCTCCTCACCTCCCCGGCCCTGTAGCGTGGCCGAGCTCCTATCCGGTCCGCGACCCGGCGGACTGACAGGAAGTGCACACTCGGTGTGCACTTCCTGTCAGTCCGCCTGATCTGGGCAGAAAAAGGCTGTGAACATGGAAGCAGCCTCCTGAGCGTCTCATAAGCGCTCAGGCGGCTGCAGAATTTAAAGGCCCGGCGATGGGGGCGCAGGGCGCCCCCTCCTATATGGCGCCCTAGGCGGCTGCCTAGTTCGCCTTATAGGAAGCGCCGGCCCTGGTGTGAGTTTACACTCCCCAGCAGTGCCCACTGCCGTTTTAACAACAGCAGCTAAAATAGCTACTGCGGAGGCTGCAGCTCCCACTAATTTAAAGGACCACTATAGTGCCATGAAAACATACTCGATTTCCTGGCACTATAGTGCCGTGAGGGTGCCCCCACACTCAGGGTCCCCCTCCTGCCGAGCTATAGGGTGAGGAAGGGGTTAAATTTACCCCTTTCTCCAGCGCCGGGCAGAGGACTCTCCTCCTCCTCCTCGGCTGAATGCGCATGCTCTGGGGTCTTCTCACTGTGAAAATCACAGTGAGAAGTGCGGAAGCACCTCTAGTGGCTGTCAGTGAGACAGCCACTAGAGGCTGGATTAACCCATTTATAAACATAGCAGTTTCTATGAACTGTATATGTTTATAGAAAAAAGGGTTAAACCTAGCTGGACCTGGCACCCAGACCACTTCATTAAGCTGAAGTGGTCTGGGTGCCTATAGTGGTCCTTTAAGTCGGTCCTCCTGTTAACTAACCTCACTCCCATAACACACTATACTACACATCAACCCCTACTCTACCCTAACATTATACATAAATCCTTACTCTGCACTATTATTAAACGTGAATCCACTCACTAACGCTAAACATGATCCCCTACACTAACAAACCTTTAACCCCTACAGTACCCCAACACTCACCATTAGCCTTTACACTACCTTATCCCTTACAGTAATTATTACCTAAACTCCTAAGATAAAAATATCATGTTATCTAACAAAGTTACATTACAGTGAATCCCATTTAGAGGAATATAATGCAATTGAGGGGTTCTGGTGACCTTTATTAACCTGAAGCTTTAGAGATCTAGAAATGGCATATTATACACACACAGATCAGATCATCTACAGATCAATAACCTTTTCTTTCAATTAATGGTATTTTTCATTAATTTAAAAAATTCAGAAAGTCCGTACTACATCACATACTGAGAGCAAGTAGAACTTTCAGCATGCTCACCAATGTAAAACTCAGTCCACTACCTCCAGAATTATTATTATATGGTATGCATCACTCTGCATCACTGAACTAACGTGGCTACTCCAGACTATGGTATATATATATATATATATACACATACATTCTGCAAAGTCAGACTGAAAGAAAATACTAATATAAATAGGTAGCCTGCTGCCTAGACTTTATAGACATTTCATAAACGCAAAGGAATGTGTGTTGTGTTTTGGCAAGTTCTACTTGAATTGTATCTCTCTTTGGAAAAAAACAAACAAACATTCTTTTAATTGTAAAGGTTTACATATATTGTTGGTGATTACCTGTGCATTTCATCGCTTCAATGCCGGGTGGTACCAGTGGTTTGCAGCTAAGGTATGCCCGAACCTGGCAGTAAAAGGGCAATGCCAAGGTCTGAGAACACATATTGGATGGTATATTATATATCATTTATGCTGCCGTAGTTTACTTTGGGTGGCACGTGTTTTACTTGGTTTACTTCAGACTCATGCTGGCTAGACAGAATCTATAAATATAATAATCATAAAAATAAAATTGAGATGAAGATTCACGAAAGCCTTTGATATATTCGGCGTGTTGGCCTCATCTAATAACTGAATTGAAAATAAATGTTAAAGCCTTAAAAGGGACACCCGAAATGTTAATCAACAGATAAAAGGTAATGGCTTGATATTTGTTTTAATATTTTTTTATTTATGATGCACTTTTAGTGTGTAGTGGTCTTAATTATTCCAGTTTTATAGTAAATGTAATTTTTGTTTGTTTTTCCATGAAATATTTAATGACCTACAGTTTTTTCAGGCCATATTGCACTTTGATCCTGAGATATATTAAGACATTTCCCCTTCAAAAGAAGGCAGCACCTCTGGCAAAATGCTTTGTATAGAATAATACTAACTACCAACTTAAGGTAGAACCTAAAGTAATAATCGAAATCAGTGGTTTATCTCTCACCGTTTTGTTTAAAAATCACAATAAGAGGCTTTGATGTCAGTTGTTTAAATAAAATATTTTAACACCCTCTATCATGTCCTAAGATAAATAAAACTATTTTTACCCATTTGCGATGACACTGTGGTTTATTTTATTTGTTTCTACACAGGTTGCCAGATTACCATTCTAGCTTTTTGGGAGAGAGAGAGAGGGTGTGTGTTGAACAATGTTTGTTAATATGGCTTTTATAATAGCATAGCAAATTCTAATCTATATCGCCTCCCTTGGTAACCTAATCAGTTCTATTGACTTCCAATATCACTTCCATGATGAAGACACGTATATCTTGTACATGAATCATATCTCCAATTGCCTCTCTCGTCTAGCTATGTAAAAAAATGTATACATTAAAGCATTAAGCAAGCCTCTATTGGCTGTCTTCTTAACAACCAGTAGAGACACATTTGTCTCCACAACTGAGTAAGACTTGTATATGCATTCAAATGATGCTGATGGCAGCGTTTTTCATTGAAAGAGTGCAGCATTTTGTCATGCATGCGCTCTCCTATCCAATGCTTTGGATTGGTCGGGATTGCAGGTGACATCAGAATTTTTGGTGGCATCAATGGAGTTGAAGCTGGAGACTGCAGTGAAAGGGTTCCGGCTCTGGAAAGGTAAGTATTATTTATTTAGATTGTTTTTTACCAAGCATTTGGGGGTGGAGAGTGTTCACAATAAGGGAGCCAATAGTAACTTTTTATTTTCCTGAGTTTTAAACTCAATCTCTTTAAAAAACAACTTGTCTTTCCTCCTTCATACGCTACCCCCCACATTTCTATCTCCCTCTAAGTCAACGGTACTACCACCAGCACTACCTCAACTCTTGTTCAGCTCTACTCTTCAATTACGAATTCACCTTTACCCCTCATATACTTTCAATCACCAAATCTTATCACTTCCATCTCAAAAACATAGCTCACACCCTCCCCTACCTCACACTGGAAGCAGCTAAGGTGTGTGTCCGTTCCACTATAACCCTCTGCCTTGACTACATCAATCCACTTCTTACTGGTGTTACATAGTCCTAGCTACAGTCTATAATGAATTCTGCAGCTAGGCTTATCTCATCACCCCTCTCTGTCAGTCTCTACATTGGCTTCCTATAATATATAGTGCTCAATTTAAAATTCTTGTCCTCGCTTACAAATTTCATAATGCTGCACCTGTCTACCTATCCATAAAACACAAGTATATCCCATCCAGGCCTCTACGCTCTACCAAAGACCTGGATCTATCCTCGCACTTCTGAATGTCTGTCCCCTTCAAGACTTCTCTAGGGCTGCTCTGACCCTAAGAAACTCCCTTTTTAACCTTCATTCACAAAAAAAGAAAAAAAAAACACTGAAAACTCACTTCTTGAAGAAGTTATGTCAATTTAACCTTTAACAACTTCCCTCCACATACATCACTATCCCACCATGCTTCCTCTCCCGCAACTGTGCCATCTAAGAAACAAAGCCTTCATTGTAAACTCTTCTAGCACCCTACTTTTCTATTTCATAAAATAAAATGTACCCTTACCTTTTGTTTCATTAACCTCTCTCCTCTTAGATGCAAGCTTTTTGAGCAGCATCAGTGCCTTCTATTCCTGTACATCTAACATTGTATCTTGTTCGAAATACTTGTTTGTTAGTCCACCTATTGTACGGCGCTGAGGGATTTGTTGGTGATTAAATAATAATAATACTATACCGTATCCACAATAACCGTGTACATTAAATTCAACCCTGTGCATTTAGCTATGTCTGCATACATGGATAGGGGTGGACAGGCCACAAGGGGAGATGACGAGGGGAGAGACCACCTGCAAAAGGGAAGGCCTGTCCAAAATAGTGTGGGTCACCTGAAAATGGGGATGCTGTGGTCAGTCCTGTTTAGGGAGGCACGTACAGAATGCACAAATGAATATGTTTTGCATGCGATCAGTGCCCAAGTACACTTTTCACAGCGCAAAAATGGCAAATGATAAACTCGCTTTGCACTTTTCAGACATGTGGTCTCTGGTGTTCCAGGAAGCGGTAAAGAGAAAGCCCAGGACTACAGCTCCAAATCAAGACTGTCCCACCAAAACACAGTATGTATATACATGTGTGTATAGACTGATAAATGACTGGATGTTTACATTTTGCTGCATAGGTGCAGAAAAGAGCATTTAAAACTGATTTATATATATTTTTAAGAAATAATAAAAGTTTTAAAAAATACATAAAAGTGGCATTCTTACTTTTAAGTAAAGAAGAAGTACTATTATTATTATTATTATTATTATTTAGCATTTACAGAGTGTCAACATAATCCTCAGGGCCTTACAATATTAATATTGGTAAATAACATTAAACAGAGACCAAACTATTAAAACTAGTATTATTATTATTACTGGTATTTATATAGCGCCAGCATATGCCGTAGCGCTTTACAATATTAGGAAGCAATAAGTTAATGGTCCTTCTTTTACCACCACCCATCATATACAAGTTAAGGAAGAATTTTAATTTTTTTATGCAGCTCTGTGTTAATGTAATGTGCAGTGTATGTTTTTTTTGTTTTGTTTTTCTGTGAAGTATGTTATGCACCCATATATAAACCACATTCTATTCAGAACCTCACAGCAATTAAATGAACAGTGGTTTAAATGGTTGGGGTTTCCAGGGCTGTGAGGCTGTGCATGGTTGGGGTTTCCAGGGCTGTGAGGCTGTGCATGGTTGGGGTTTCCAGGGCTGTGAGGCTGTGCATGGTTGGGGTTTCCAGGGCTGTGAGGCTGTGCATGGTTGGGGCTTTCAGGGCTGTGAGGCTGTGCATAGTTGGGGCTTCCAGGGCTGTGAGGCTGTGCATGGTTGGGGCTTCCAGAGCTGTGAGGGTGTCATTTAATGGAATATAGAAGGGCAGGATGGTATGGCAGTGCACAGGTTAAAATGCTACATCACTGAGGGGCAGAATGGCTCTGTTGTGTCTGCTGTTGCTCCCTCCATGTGGCAGACCCTTTGGACATTACAATTATTGGTAAACCTGAGGGTCTATAGACAAGAACAATGGTCCATCCACCTGTGCTTGATATGTATGGGCAGAATATAAGTTGTACCTCTTTCCACCTGGGTCACACTCTGAAGTAGTTGGAGCTGAGAACCCTCATCCACTTACTCTATTTTGCTTCACATGGTTCATCTGATGTTATGTCCAACTCTGTGCCTGATTCTGTTTTCTCTGTTGGTGGTTCCTTGCCAGCATGGTGGATATACAGTAACCTGGAAAGTCAGCTCTGCTCCCATAAAAGATAGAATTTGGATATGTTTGTCGTTTCATGTGATCCAAAAAGTTATTCTAGTAGTCGATGTTTATGAGACTGACATAATGTTATCACACTTTGGCTATAACTCTCCCACAATGTTTCATGACTCATTATTCAATTATTGAGCAAACAGCCCAGGAAGGGTTGGTCCTGTTGGTTTTGGAGGAGGGGGCAAGTTGGGGTATGCAACTCCTGACACTATCTTCTGCTTTCTCATCCACTGCTTTTTTTACATATAGAATTATTAGCAAATATATATTTTATAAAAGTGTTTCCCTTATTGATTTTATGATAAAGGTGACTTCTCAAAATGTCCCTTAAAAGCAGAATGAGTTTAAAAGTAAAGGTATGTTGTTTCTATAAATAACCTGACAAACGTGTTTAAAGTAACACAAATCAAACACCTGAAATGGTTTTTAATTGCTGTATTTAATTACTATGATTTGAATGTTCCTATACAGGAATGTTATATTTAGAAGACAGAGTTGACGGATGATGACACAAGTTAAAATAATATATTCATTGGATAATCTTATGATAATCACCAAGTATAGTTGTCATTAGATTTGTGCGTGGGGGAAAAAGAAAAGTTGATTTCAAGTTTCGTTTATGTAGAGTTTTGATTCGAACGAATTTCATCCATGCAATTATTTCAGGAAAAAATGAATCAGACGAACCAAAATGGGGCAATAATTACTCAATCAATTTACTACAAAATATAAACATTATGTATATATTTTGCCTTATACTGATAGGTGCGCCATTTGGTTCACAGATCAAGTGTCAAGACATAACCAAAAGACGGAAAAAAGAAGGAGCAGGAAAAAAAAGATCTATGTTGTGAAAAAATGGTTTGTTCTGAAGAGCTCAGTGAATTCAAGCGTGGTGATGTGATAGGATGCCACCTTTGCAAAAAGTTTGTAAAATTTCCGCCATGCTAGATATTCCATAGTCAACTGTGTTATTATTGGAAAGTGGAAGCGTTTAGGAACGAACGCAAGTCCGCCACGAAGAGGAACACAAAGTAAAGTCACAGAGCAGGGTCACCGAGTGCTGAGGCGCAAAATAAAATTCTACCAAAATAAAAGGGAAAAGTCAAAACTGACAAAACATTATAAAAGGTGAAGCTTTTTATTTTATTAGGTTCTTATAATGACAGCCGTGAGAATGTATCTCATTCCTGCTCATTACTATGACATTGAAATGGCTTCTACCATCGTGTGAAGAGAGAACTGAAAAAGTTTGGCAATGCTTGCTACGGAGGCTTCAGGTGGGAATCTCTACTTGTCACCTTTGGAGGTCTTTGCAAAATATGCCAAAAAAAACAACAAAAATGAAAGAATTGCTTTAAACTATTTCAACAACGTGATGGTAATATGTACTGTCTGACATTGGAAACTTTTCAATAGTGAATATAGCAGCAGCATTATTCACTAAACCATTAATTGTCTTTCATTCATGTTTATTATTCTCTTTTTGACACTTGCTAGTTCTTCATGTTGCACTCTGAATTTCAATTTTATACAAGTTTATACCATTATCTAGCAGCTTGTCATGTGTTTATCTGTCAGACAGTCATGCAAACACCTAACTGTGAGTCTGGTCTCTTTTGGAGCTCATATGGTGGACACATATGGTGGTCGTGCCCCATTATCCAACGATTCTGGGACAAAATCACAAAATTCATTAAGATCATCACAGTGGTATCTCTACCTTTCGATCCCAAAACCCTTATCTTTGGGCTCATTAAGGGTCAGACGCACAAACCCACCAACACACTGGTACTCTACCTACTAACGGCAGCAAACCTACTGATACCCCAGTTCTGGAAAAGGCAAACAGCTCCTTCTATAAGAAAATGGATTCTCAAAGTGGAATCTTTCAGGGTCCTTGAGGAACTAAATTCCTTCATTCTACATAGATATACACTATATAGAGATATCTGGGATCCGTGGTTGAAATTCCTTCAAACCCAAACCAGTGAGAACTCCCCAGCTGGCTATGACTGCAAGATAAGAGAAACAGACTTCCCAATTCTTGCAGGGAACACCACCGATTCTCAACTACCCTATATCCCACGCCTCCCCTCCACCCCCCAGGCTGACAGCTTACGTTACCATGCCTGTAGCACAATAAGCACTGGAGACAATCGACCGCATACTGAACCCAAGGTTGCATTGTGCAACGGACATAGTAGGGTATCACCACCATCCTGCTAGTACAATATTAATACCCATCAACGCTACTGGTGACCCTTCTCCCCCCTAGCCTATAGACCCAATTGGGTAGCATTAAACTAGATCGTACTGACTGCGGTAGGGGGGACAACCCTCTGTTTTTAGATGGGCCAAAGAAATCCTAAACTCATGTACTTGGGACAAGTGACCTTGGGACAGTCAAACAGTCAAACGATTCAGTCAAACATTTCTGTACAAGTTAATGGTATACTGTATATAACCGTATCTATGTACTACATAAACTAGACATTGTTACTACATGCATTATTATGTATCTTTTATTGTTTGATGATATAATGTGCCCGGACTGGGCATCTATTGTAATCTGCACAAAAAGCAAATAAAATGTTTTTTTAAAAACACAATATAAAATGAAATAAGTTGTTGGTATCCAGAGCCGAATTACCTATTAGGTGGCCACCTAGGGCCCTGTTTTGACATGGTCCACGTGGGCCTCTTTTTGGGCCTGGTGCTCCAATTCTGGCTGTTAGAGGGTACTCTTTGAGCCGGCTCAGAGAGCAATAGATCTCTCTGCAGGGCCATATGTACCCTCACCTGCTCCAGAGAACATTGTGGTCTGCACCTGATAGAGGAGCTCTTCAAGGGCTTCCCCGTGGCCCCCTGGCACATCTCAGTGACTCACAGTGCCACAGTTGGTGCAATGAGTCATTGACTATAAACAGCAATATTTGACATCTAATTAGCACATTGTACTGGTACACTCCATTCCTTTTTTTAAAAAATTTAAATAAATGTTTTCATTTAATATATTTTAGTATTGTACTGTGAGGCAGCTACTCAAAATTCTCTCTACAATCAGTTGCATAGGGTGCAATTGCTCCCCCTGCCGCCCCTGGCAGCCTTCACTGATTCCATAATCCGTGTCCTTACTCTTTATTCCTTCCTCTTGTATACTTTGTTTTTGGGTTCCCTGTTTATCCCTTTGTTTTTCTACGCCCAAATCACCACCAACAACAACGTCCTCTGACCCAGGACAAGAATTGGGACTCGATCTGGTCTATACGTTTTCTTTCATAACATTTCTGTCACCTGGCTGCTGACCGCTCTCTGGTGCCTCACTTTTATACCAGATTTTCCTCCCTTCTCATTCTGCCAATTTGTCATTTCTCTGATATATATTATTTGCTTTGATTTGCTATATCCATTTTATTTCATTTACTAAAAGCCACCATAAATAAAGTTTGTGACGGACCACTGGCACTCCGACCGAGTACCTCCACCAATTTAATGTTCCTAGTGCTTGCTGAGGACTCCAAGCACTCCAACCGACACCATCCGCACTGTAGACCCCACTTCCAGTGATGCAGCTGCGCCGGGGTCTCGCAGTCTCTCACCCACCCTGGATCCAAGGCCAGGATCCAGCTTCCAGTGGGTGAATCTTTCCTAAATCCAGAGAGCAGGAACCAGGAACAAAACAAGCTCTTGCAAGAGCTGACTCTGGGGAGTATGTGATTATAGCAATCCCAAGAGTGTAGTTATCCCTTCCCCCAAGCATGAGCCAAGGCTTCAAGAAAGGGTCAAGCAGTTCTGTTTATTATGGGCTACCTGCCTGGTATTTATGCAGGTTTCCCACCAGGTGGACACTCCCCTAGGGGACCTGGTGGGACACTGTGACACAAACTGGACAGTTTAACCTTAACCACTCCCACATGCACATTGTAATCCCTCCTCTCTATCCTGGAGATAATTGGTGAAGTAATCCAATTACCTCCAAGATCAGAGGCAAAACTCCATTAGCCACATGTTAGTAAAAAGACATAAAATTACACAGTGTTACAATTACTACATAAAACATATACATTCATATACATATCCCCAGATAGCTTAGATCTGAGCGCACATTATTACCGAATGGCGCTCAGATCACATACATACAGTTCAATCGCCATGGAGTCAAAGTCTTTCACATAGTCTTTCGTTATACGAATGGGCTCCATGGCATAGCTATCTGGGGTAACACTGCTCACATAGGGAAAGTACTGAAGGGATGGCGTTCTAATGAATTGCAGTAGAAGGGAGGTCGGTGGCTCAGCAGTGTTCGTGCAATAAGTGAACACCGCTGGCCGTTTGGGAGTTTAAGATGGCCGCTGCCACGTGTTCGGTTATACGAACAGCGGCCACCCAGCGTTAACCGCAGCTTCTGGGAGGTAAATCACTGGCACACTCCTTGCCCTGGTGGTCCCCCCATTCGTGTGTTGGTTCGGTAGATTCAATCTACCGAACGCCCAGGCAGAAAGGCACGAACAAGCCTTTCTAAAGGGAAAAGAACAGCATTTAACATGGGGCCATAGTCCAGAGGGAGCAGGCAAGCAACCAGGCTTCTCCAGTGCCCAGTGGCGAGGTTGGTTCTGCCACAAAGTTAATTAGTCAATTTGCTTGGGTTTGTATATTAAACTGGCAATTATGGAACTGACAAGAACTTGAACATTTTAGATCAAAAACACTGAGTTGAATCCATCTGAGCCATCTAACGATTGTACAGGCCACCAAAATTGTTAATTAGTTTCAATGAAGGGGATGCCAGTGTATTTAATACAAAAACATGTATGTTGTTACTGTTCTTATCTATATCTAAATGAAATATCAAAATGAGCATCCAGTGTGTCCTTGGCCTGCAGACAAGTTTCTGACGAGTTCAAGCTTCAAATACAAATCCTCTGCTCATAAATCATTTTAACAAGAAAAGGGAGTGAAATGACATGTAGCTCGCTGTAAATTTATATCAGTGACATTTAAAAATCTTCCTGAAAGGCATGGATCACGACAAACATTAATGAGAAATTCAAAGAGCAGTTGTGCTGCGAGGACATTCGAGAAAGAGGAGATGCCGTGAATAAACAAATGGGGATTGAATTGTGGAAAGCAAATTTGGCAAAAGGCATTTTATTCAACAGTCAAAACAGATCCATGGTGGTGTCAGGCATTCTGCTTACCTTTCCGCACGACTCAGAGTCTGGCAATCCCCTCCTGCATCCCGTCTGCATATACGTGCGACGGAACAAACTACCGAATTCAGCGTTCGCCAAACCGAACGCGGAATTCGGTAGACCAAATTCGATGCACATAAATGACATCAGAGGTCAGATTAGGAAGGTCAGGTACCTTCCATGAATAGTGGTCAATTCCAAGTGGAATTGGACCAATCAAAATTAAGTGATGCTCATTTATACTTACCTCTCCCATTCCCTGTTGCCCTGTTATAGTTTTTGGTAGCCCAATAGCACGTTCCTTTCGTGATATTCTGGTGATATATTTCTGGCTCTTATCCTGTCCTCTGTACTCCTTTTGACCTCTGCTTGTTTGTACAATACTCCTGGCTTCTCTATTCCATTTGACCTCGGCTTTTAACTGACTCAGCTTGTTCTTTAACCCAGCCATTCTAGGGGCCGGTATACGGATTCCCTTTTAGTGATTTTGTCTGTGTGTTCAGGTTCCAGCATGTTCTGACAGATGGTGATTATAAAGACCATCTCTAGGGCAAAGCACAAAATGTCACTTAGCGACCATTTGGCATCCAAGGCAAGTGTGGAACTACCAATGCAGCAGCCAGTGCTACTGCACCTGTGCCCCACAGGCTGATAGGGCCCTTCCTGACGTGGCTGGATTTGCTTTTAAGTGGGATAGGCATCTGTCTTCTGGAACATTTTTCATAGGGGTGCAAAGCAGCAGATATGGTAACATGGAAGTAGGGATCACTCTTTGCACAGCTTACATCCATGCCCTGTACTGATGTTAGGATGTGATATCACCACAGCCCCTGACATCAGAACAGAGCAGCAGGATGCCCAGAGAGCAGTCTAACTTACTCTGTTCATATAGTATGTATAGATGGTGGAAGTGCACTCATTCCTAAGTCATGAGATTCAGGGTGCTCCATGGATAAGTCCCAGTATCAAAAAGGACCAATTGTAATATTGAATATAGAAGATAATCCAGGCACTCCAATGAATTCCAAAATAGAGGCACATTTTTATTGGAACAAGAAACCAAAAAGCAACGTTTCTACCCCTAAGGGCCTTTGTCAAGCTGATAAAGCACATACAGTACAAACAATATATAGGTGTATATAACCATTACAAAATGGAAAAACCTGTGATTTAATTGCAATTCATTCATAACATAATCAATCAAATAGTAAAAACATGATAGTCTCTCCACTCATGATCTCTAATATAGGGGATGCCAAAAGGCACAGGAAAACACAGCCAATAGAAACTGAGTTCAATAATAATTATATTCAATTGTTTAATTATACACTGCTTGTTTCGAATGACTATTAATGAATTTCTATCAATGAATTTAAAGAAAGAACAAATCTGAGTACTCACATTTCCGGGTTTGATCACATGGATTCAACCATGTGATCACGTCTAGCGTATACAATGCGATTAACTGCGTAGGCCACACGATCGCGTCCCATTAAGCCACACAGGTGTGAAACCACGCACGCGCAGCCTGACCCCACAATGTCGCGCACGGGCAATGGGATATGACTGTATCGCGCATGCGCCAATATAGCGCATGCGCTATACAAACCATAATGAATAATGACTTCTAAATAATGTGTAGATAGTGCGCATGCGTAACATAATGCAAACGCAAGAAGCACCACATTCAAAACCCATTATAAGTAACCTTTTATTAAATGTCTCAATATAAGGTGAAAATGATACAAAACCCATACTTTAAAATATAAGATAACAACCAATCAATTTCAATAGGCTGGTTTGGAACCTGGCTTAGCATAGCACCCCCAATAGTGGATCATGAATAACATATAAAGTTCATTATGAATTAGAACATTCTTCATACATCATTATTTTCAATATAGCACAATTTAATAAAGTACAATAATAATAACATGGCTCTATCAGGATATCCATTATATAGTTGAGAAGTTTACATAATGTTCATAGACCTGTTTTTATTTATACAGTGATAAGTGAAAATAAACAATTAATATTGATTAAAAATATGTACAAAAACAAAAAAATTAATTAATAATAAAAATGATCATAATAATAATACATTAACTTCATATAGAGTGAAAAATAAATCAATCAAATTGAAATATATTATTATTGATGGTGTAAATATAGATCTATTATTCAATATGTGTAATGTTATAATGTGTCACTATGTGTATAATATACAAAATTTCAACCTATGTGTGTAATATAAGTGACAAAGACAAAATTCTCAACCTCAACACTTTAGAACTATATATTACGTTGAATTAAATATTTAAATACTTATTAACTATTTCTATTTGTCAACATATAGTTTTAATTGATTAATTGTAATTTATACAGAAGAATTCTATTCTAAATATCAATTAATTTAATGAATTCAATAGAATACTCCATAATATAATTTTATATAATGTCCAAATAGTGACTTATTCTACAATAGAAGTGAGAGTCACTTTAGATCAAACAATATCTATATGAAAACCAACAATTAGGTATTCTAATCAACAATTAAGTATTTTATATAAAGGGGAGATAACAGCAGCCTTCTATTTCAGACTGTTTTATAGAGTATGATTTAAAGACTAACATTTAAAAAATCTATAATGAACATGGGAGACAAAATTACAAAATGTGCTCAATCAAATGATGCCCAGCACCGCCATCAAAGTAATCTGTAAAAAAAAAAAATAGTCAAAATTAAAAAGTTAAAAACAATAAACAAATTATGACTTAGATAAACAGATTGAGGTCATATTCTTGATTAAGTCCCCTAGGTGTTAGGGATCCTAATTCCCTAATCCAATATGCTTCTCTAAATAGTAATTTTTTTAAACGATCCCCACGTCTAGAGCTTTCTTCTACATGTTCAATAATTTGAAATTTAAGTTGAGTTATGTTATGCTTTGCTTCCATGAAATGCATGGGAATGGGCAAATCAAGCATTTCTGTTCTTATTGTGGATTTGTGAGTTGTTTTGCCAACGTAGATTAAACCACAAGGGCATTTTAAGGTATAGACAACATGTGTAGTATCACATGTAACAAATTGTCTAATCATATATTTATTACCCCTATGGGGATGAACAAATGACGGGCCCTTAATCATAGAATTGCATGGAAAATTGCCACTCCTTTTTTAATTAAATTTTAATGGAGAAGATAGTTCAGCTTTTACCAATCTATCCCTTAAAGAGGGAGCACATTTATAAACCATAAGAGGTTTATTTTCAAATTCCACAATATTTGGATGGCACTTAGATAATATATTCCAATGTCTATCTATGGTACGTTTTAAATCAGAAGATAGTGTACTATATCTTGAAACAAATTTAACCCTATCTTCTATTTTGACTTGTTTAGGTAAGTTTTCAAGACGTGTTTCACCCCCATGATTAACATAATCCAATTGAGTCTGTAAGATGGGTAAAGGATATCCCCTCTCACAGAATCTCTTGGTCATGAGTTCCAACTGACGGTCTACCAACTCTGTTTTGGAGACCAGTCTTTTGACCCTTCTAAATTGACTCCTAGTGATAGATTTAAACATTGAAATGGGGTGGAAACTATCGTAGTGTAGTAACGTGTTCCTATCTAGTGGTTTCCTATAGAGATTTGTCTCAAATTTACCATTATTTTTAACGATCAAAATATCCAAAAAAGGAATAGAGCACTTATCCATCTCCATGGTAAATTTAATGCTATCAGAACAGTTGTTGAGAAATTGAAAAAATTCTTCGAGAGGTTCCAATGGGCCACACCACATCGCTAGCACGTGTAACGCCACCAATTTACAATATACTTTTTAAAAAGTTAATTTTGTTATATAACATTTTCTTCTAATTTGGCCATATATATGCCAGCATATGTGGGGGCCACATTGGAAACCCATCGAAGTGCCCTTAGTTTGAATAAAAAATTCATTTCCAAAAGAGAAATCATTTTAAGTCATCACCAACCTGAACAGTTGCCATAGAAACGATAAAGAAGGGTCCTTAAAGCCCAACTATTCAACAGCCTCACCCATGGCCGCTATATCCTCATCATGGGGAATAGAAGTATACAAAGAATTAACATCGAAAGTCACCAATGTAATATTCTGTGTATTTTCAATCATGTTGATCTTCTCAAGTACCTCAAATGTATCTTTTACATTTTATTTGATTTAAAAAGGGTCTTGACACCTGATCTAGAAATTTTGCACGTGGGGACAAGAGAGGTCCTATGCCCGCCACTATCGGCCTCCCAGGGGGATTAATGAGAGATTTGTGAATTTTTGGCAAGATATACAGTGTGGGAATCACAGGAGAAGTAACAGTTAGATATTTAAATAACTGATTATCAATTATCAAATCATAAACTGCCGATTTGAAAATAATATCAGTCTTCTTTTTAAGGGGTAATGTAGGATCAATTAAAGTTTTTTTCTAAGTTTCACTATCACCTAATTGTCTTTCTATCTCTTTAACGTAATCAATCTTGTCCAACACAACAATTGCTCCACCCTTGTCAGACGGTTTTATTATCAGATTTACATTTTTTTTGAAGTGTTACAAGCGCTTTTTGTTGTATCTTAGTTAGATTGTTAGAAACACATTTTTTCTTTTGTTTATGTTGGACAAGATTATCAACATCTTTTTTAACCATTTCCACAAAAATTTCAACAGCATGATCATTGATGTGTGGATTAAATGTACTTATATTTTTAAATTTAGTATCACTTAACTTTAAATCAGTACTAATTACATTTGATGATGATTCTGAATAAACAGTTTTAGAAAAAAAGACCTTAAGTCTAATATTACGAAAGAGACGGCATAAATCAGCATCAATATCAATTGGTCTAGGCTTATGTACAGGACAAAAAGTCAAACCTTTTTTCAGGATAGAAATTTCAGTTTCAGATAAATTAGATGAAGATAAATTGATGATTACTGAATCTTCTTCCTCTTCTGAGGACCCTTGTGTTTCCATATTCCTGGTAGTGTCCAACTTCTTGTACCCACCCCTTCTGATTCTTCTGACGTTTCTCTGCTTGATATTTGCCTGTATGGGGGAGTGTCCCCTAAAAAATAGGCAGAGTTATTGGCAGACTGGTTTTCTTGTGAGGAATTGGATTACTCTGAGAGGCATTATGCTGAGATTTGGAATTGTCCCTCCTATATTTTCTTGGTGGTTTTCCAAAGGGATGTCTTTGAAAATTAGATCTTTGTGGGTTAGTGGAATTCTACTTGTATACATTCCCATTTTCATAGTCCAAAAGATCTCGCTGAAATTTGCCTCTCTTCCTCTCCTCAATTTGTTTTTTCAACTGATCAACATTAGACTGAATTTGACTTTTCGTTGAGATTAAACTTTCCCCTTGAAGATTCCTTTCAAGCTCCATTTCCAATGACACTAATTCTTGTTGAGTTTTGACAATTCCTTTTTGCAAAAATTCTAAATTTAATAATATCCAGTCCATGGAACATTTATTGAAGATTTTTTCAAATTGTTTACAATATTCTAGATCTTCATTAAATAATGTAGGGAATGCGTTCATTCGCATGCCTCTGGGGATACGATTCACCTTGTAGTATTCTGCTAATGTGACACTATGAAGTTTTAAACTTACATTTTTCTTTAAAAATGTTTCAAATTTTTTACTAATAGTTTCACTACTTGGTGTATTAAGAAATTCAAAATTACTTTCAGCAGCGGATAGGATTCGTCTGGCCTCAATATCCGAATAAGTAAACGTGCTAGCATTGGATTGGGATCCAGGTTCCATAACTTGCCAATATATTATACACTTCAATATTCCAAAAATGGAAAAAATAACAATAATACAAATGAG